TCTTCTTCTTATCATAGCATACCAACCAGCGAACACCCAGCCAAGTTTAGTTAGCCAGTTTGAGTATTCGTTACACTTGTAGCGCTATTTAGAGATTTGGTAGAGCTTTATAAGGCGACGTAGTATAGATCGGTACATTTTAGTAGGTACTTCGTCTCTTACTTACTAGTAGGTCGCCTTTAGATACTCACGTATATATCGTATGACATTTCGCTCCTTAATATAGCTATACGTCTTAGGACAGCCTTTGCGAGGGAGATCTTTCTGTTTGGTGGAGGTGCGGTCGGTAGTACAGGTTTTATAAACAGTACTTTTTTCGTGACTAAGTGCTTCCGCGATCTCGCCGTAGGTAGCACCCACTTTAGGTGCTCTAATAATCTGATTTCTCTCGCTAGGTAATAGGTTTCGAGGCCTCCGAGCAGGAGCATCTTCAGGGGTTTTGCGAGGCATTGTGTAGTGGATTTGCAGGGGGGTGGGAGTGGGTTTATATGTTCGCGTAATCCACTAATTTAGCGAGCCGTCCGGAAATTTACGGTACATGACTGTATGACGGTGGAAGCGAGTATCCCGCCATGCAAGAGATGATGAATTTCATCCAGCGAGCATTTAAAGACGCGGGCATGCATTCCGTTCCAGGTCCTTCAGTTAAGATGTGGATGCGTGAGGTGGGAGCAGTTGATATCCAAGAAAGGGTTTTGTCCTTCCCTTTAGGGTCCCGCGCTGCCACCACGGATGATGTCTCAAGCACCATGGAGATTATTGAAGGCATGATTAATAACTTTACCGCGATTGGAATCTAGTAAGTGAGAATGTCATTGTCTACGGAGGATAGAATATGGGGATAGGGATACGAAGCTGAAACGGCCCGTATCATAGAAACACCCGAATACTAGTATAAGCCAGAACAATTCAAGATGCTCAAGGAGGATGTCTTCAAGGAGATGTCAGAGATTGGAAATAATTGGCGCTTTTGGGTTGTTACTGGGCAGAAGCCTATTTAGATTGGCTTCTACCGCGCAAAATTTAAGGGAGTCTTGCCCCCTACTAATTTCCAAGGCCCAAAAATGTTCTGTTACCATCTGTAAGCGTACTCAAAAACATATAATAGAGAACCGGGATAAAAGGCTTCCAATTCAATAATTCTACCACGAGAAAATCAATTCTAGCACTGCCGACAAACAAATACAAGCTAGTAAGAGACTCCGACCTTGGATTTTCACTTCCTTCGTACCCATTCGACAATACAGAAAAGAAACGTAATAAAATCCCACCCTCGACTTTTCTGCTAGAGCCACAAAGCCAACCCAGAATGCCAAACCAGAATAAATGTGTCACAATCTCAAGTGAGGGTTGATAATCGCTCGCTCCGTCAACACATCTAGAAATGCAAAAAGAAAGAAGAGATAATGCAACGGCGCATACCACAAATTGAAAACCACCCAATCCCAACAACTCTAGTAGTAATTATCTAACATTCGGTGATCCAAATAATATCGATTTTGCATTTCGAAGGCCGCTGTAAGAGGAGGGAAAGAAAAAGTTATTATAGAAGCATTGATTACTGTAATTAGATGCAAGGCCTGGACATGAAGCCGTAAACGATGATGGTGGATATCAGTTTGTCGTGTTCAAACAGCCAGCCGTGATATTGGTAATTCATGAAATACGCGAAGTTGATCTGGTAAAGTTTCAGTTATCTGATGGTAATTGAAAACGCTACAGTGACTTACAGCAAGAAAATTAGTATAGAACCAGAAGCCTACGAGCCGGCAGCAAAACGGACTGAATTAGAATTTGTAGCAACAACTCCTCCAGCAGGCGATGTGACGGGTGCAGGCAGACAATTGGCATCATCACCGGACGTCTCATAGGAACTGCCGACCCCTGATCCTGCTCCAGATGCTGAATTTTCAGCAGCACGGTTTCTCAGGCGCCAATGCCGAGTTCTGCGGCTACGGCCAGTCTTGGAATCTTGAGAACCTGTAGGGGGATCACTGGGGGCCGAGACACGACGTCGTTGCTATAAATGTATCAGTCAAAAGGACTGCACATATACGCAAGTATGCTTACAGATGGAGGACCCTGTAAGAGGGGTTGACCTTCTCCAGAACTGACTACTGTTATGTCCGAATCCTGACCACCGTCGACGGAATCCTGGAGTTTACTAGCTGGTTCGCTCTTTGCCACGTGCCTCCTGGCGATTCTGGACCGTTTCGATTTTGGCTTGTCGGTCGTGGATTCTGCTTCGGTGGATATTTCATGAGAAGGAACAGATTCAGAACTTTCAACTTCTTTGGTGCCATCTGGAATTCATTAGAGTCAATCAACGTATAACAATACGTCAAGATATACCTGTATTTTCAAACCTAGCCTTTTTTGCAGTCTTCTTGCTCAAGCTTGCGGCTTTTTTCTCCTCCTTTTCAACTTTCTTTTGAGCTTTTATAGCCTCCTTGGATGTTGTTGGCTTTAAAGGCGAGAGCGCTTCCGATTCAGCTTTAGAGCGAAGCGGGACAAACTCAGGCGCGTCAGGTTTCAATTTGGAGCCCTGTGTGTGTTAGAGGACTTTGGATATATATACACCCAGCCTTCAAGAACAGCGTGAAAATGACATGTGGATCAACAAGAATGGAGCGGCTGCTAATTGTGTAATTTGATGAAAACTTCGACTGAGTCTATTTGAATTTGGTCCATAATTCTTTGGCAACAATATACTGGAAGCAACTATGCGACCGTTGCGGTGGACATCCCAAGGGATTAGATTTCTGCTGTGCTTACCTCTCGCTGATGTCCAACTTCGCCTTTCTTCACATCATCTTTCTTGTTCTTATCGGTAGCAGACGCGTTGGATTCCGGAGCTGCCTTTGCCTTGAGCATTTCTGCCTTTTGTTTGTCTGGGCTGAGATCGTTGATCATGTTGATATCTTTCTTCTCGGGGCTCCGAGATCGGGACCGCTCGCTAGAAGGTTTGACAAATATCTGTTTTGACCACAACTCATGATACTTCCCCCGGGATTGAATCAAACCTTGATGTGTACCCTCTTCAACGATTTCGCCATTCATTACAACAAGAATGTGATCTGCCTTCATGATTGTTGAAAGACGATGTCTGATAGTATTAGTGCCTTCATCTAAACAGAACAGCAATTCAAGACTTACGCTACGATGAAAGTGGTTCGGCCACGGCATAGAGTTCTAAACCCTTCTTGGATAAGATGCTCTGTTTCAGTATCAACAGCACTGGTAGCTTCGTCCAAAAGAATGATTTCCGGTTGCTTGAGGATAGCACGAGCTATTGCAAGACGTTGCTTCTCGCCACCAGACAATTTTCTTCGCTTCACGTCAGCAATCTATCCAAATAATATAGACGAGTACTTACACTCCCTGATGCCCGACAAAAGATTGGTAGCCATCCGGAAAAGACATAATCTTATCATGAATAGCGGCAGCTTTGCAAGCCTCATAGACCTCCTCATCAGTAGCAGAAAGACGGGCATAGCGTACGTTGTTCATTATCGAGTCCCCAAAGAGCGTGGGATTTTGCGGGACAACTCCAATATTTTCTCGGAGACTTAAAAGAGTCAGCTGAATCAAGAAATCAATCGATCTAGGGATGCATACCTGCTTAGAGTGACATCACGAATATCTTGGCCATCGATAGATATGCTTCCAGCTTTGACATCATAGAATCGATCAATCAATTTTAGGATGGTTGACTTTCCACCGCCTGTTTGACCGACCAGGGCTACAGTTTTTCCAGGGGGAACAGTAAAGCTGACATTCTTTAGTGTTGGTTTTCGGTCATCGTAAGCAAATTCGACGCGATCAAATTTGACCAAACCTTTATCTAGCTTCAACTGCTTGGAACTTGGCAAATCTGAAATCGAAGGCTTTGTTTGGAATAGTTCGAGTAAGCGTTCCGCATCCATTAAACTATATGATATTGTCTTGAACATCGTGCTAAAGAAAACCAGAGGATCTCCCTGAAGTCAGCATGAACGAAAACTCCAGGATCTTGATAATGACGTACTTGCAAGCTGTGCCCAGTACACAAGCAATGTTGTGAATTTCCCAACCGACTGCCCCTCGAAAGCAACTTGATAAGCGCCAAGCCAGAGAGCTCCCAGGAGACCTACGGTCATGACAAGACCTTGAGCAGCACTGATTGACTGTGAGGACATCTCATAGGTGTATTTGGCTTTCAGGTGATCTCGAACAGCTTTTCACTGTTAGCAAGTGGCTTTCAAACTAGGTTAGAACTCCTCAGATCACCTACCAGACCCATATTTCTCCTTTTCGTACGGAAGCATATTGAACATCTAAAACAGATTCAATTTGTATTCCAGTTGGACCATAATGTGAACTTACACTAGCAGTAACCCATCCATCCATAGAGTCATATCCAACTTGCCATTCTTTACGCACGACGGCGATATACTTTCGACGCTTGCCTGCCCGCATACTTACCAGCTTTGTCGTAACGTATAGGTAAGTACTTGCCGTTGATGCCATCATTAAACCCATGTATGGGCCATACATAGACCAGAGATACCCAAAGGCAATTGCAAGATCGATGAACATGGGTATGACGCTGAAACAAATGCTTTCTAAGAGATCGGCAACCGATCTACCACCGTTGAGAGCCTGGATCAGGTCAGAGCTTGATTTGCTATCATGAAAATCCGATGAGAGGGTCATGATATGGGCATGCGAAGCTGTACTAAGTGCGTCATATGAATACTGCTCAACTGGCATCCAGAGCCACTTTTGAAGCCAACCGATGCATGCGCTGCTGTTGATGAAACGGTAGACAGCATAAACTGCCACGGGAAGCCAAATGTTATGGTCCGGTTCTATGGTAGTTAGTAGAATGCCAAAATAGGAGCTGGACAACTGGACTACCTACCGCCTCCAACGTATTTGGTGAGACTGTCAATCATCACGCCTAATTGATTGGGTATGAGGACATTCAAAGCATTGGTGGCCAACAAGCATAGTATCACAAGAAATCCCCTGAACTGAAGATGTCGGTCATGCATTGGAACGACATATGGAAAGAAGACCTTACAAGCAGATTAGCATGGGAAAACTCGATCGCTTGGAACAACTCACGGCAAACCCTTTAGCGTAGGTGAACCAGTCACCATCTTGCTTCAAGCGTTTCTGAATCAGCTCCTGAGCCTCCTTTTGTTGCTTAAGCCATGAATCTTTTGATGTGTCATCGTCGTCCTCCTCGCCGTCAGATTCCTGGGCAGTAGTGGTGCCATATCCGTTTGTAGAATCTTCAGAGCTCGATGGTTTGGGAGCAAGCTTCTTTCTCAACAGGGATTGTCTTTCTGCATCAGCATTATCGTATTCTTTGGGGTCGTTTCGCAAGGTGAAATATAGTACGATCAGGGCTATAAACGTTGCAATTCTGGCACCTTTTATGAAGATGATGGAGTAGTCAAAGATTGATGCGGGGGGTTGGTAGACGTTCGGGAGGATGACCAAGGTTAGTTCAACAGTAACCCCAATAAACCAGGTTCCGTAGTAAGGGTACCAAACAGGGAATTTTGCGTCCGTCAGAGCCAGAGCTTGAATTCCGAAAGCGATTGTCGAAGCTATGAGGTAAACCTGCCAGGATCAATACATAAGTAACTCATAAATTATTTCCAAAATACGAGAGTCACTTACTACTCTATCTTGCCCAGGATACCATTGGGAAGAGGCTGCAATAACATGACTCAGCACATCGATTGATTCAGAAAGCTACCGGTTTATCAGTAAAGAACTGAGGGGTGAATTGACAATGTGAAATCGCGTACGTATGTGCCAGCAACCACGAATATCAAGCCCAATAAAACATTACGGCGAACTTGCTCGTCACGGATCCGAAGTCGTTGAGTCTGCAAGGTGCAGACGGTGATGGTCAGAGCCAAAAGGAAGTATAAGAAGACTACAGCAGAATACGCGTAGTGGATGCTTTTGATGGCAACCCGAACCTAGGTATATCAAGGTCAGTAGTTGTGCCTGATAATCACTCTGACTAGATGATACTGGACCTCGCCTCGAGGTTGGAGTCATGATCGTGTGTGGTAGTATGGAGGATAGGAGGGAAGGAGGGAAGACCTACGCTATCGGGAGCGTTCAGAGCCATGATTTGAGTCTATTCCAAGAGAACGAATGCGGTACAACGTGGAGGCGCAAGCTGGGAATTGGAGCCGAGCCGAGATCGCTGAGTTGACAGGTGATCAGCAATTAATCCAATGGACCAGAGCCTTAATGGCCAAGCCGCGAGCGCTTTTGAGATCGGCCCCACGTAGAAAGAAACGAGTGTCTGAGGAGAGCAAAAGGAGAGTGTCGGAAAGGATTTTGGATTTTGGTAACAGATTCGGAAAGAGATGGGCGGAGGACAAAACATGAGGCGGACAGGGAACCTCGGCGAGATGAGGAGACGGCAGGAGGGGAGGAGACAAGGCTGCCGCTCCCACCGCCACCAGGAAGGCGCAACCAGAGGAGGCTGAGAGACGAGAGATGAGACGAGAAAGTACTGGATCGTGACTTCTGATTTCTCAACCTTCAAGATGCTCCTACTCCAGCTCTAGCTGACCTTGTGGGTGGGACACGTCAATATTCCCAGTCACTGTTGAGGTTGGCTGGGCAAAGGTAGCCAAGAGGCAGGTCACATAAATTGGGAGGTGAGATACATAGGTACCCAGCCCACCGTTCAATCTAACCGTCAACCTTTCAAGTATCCAGTTCCAGGGTTCCTGTCAATTTGGATACCACAGGGTGATGCGGCAGGTACGAGGTGACTCCACCGAGAGCTGGAGCGCCTGGCACCTACAACGGCATGAAAAGGTACAAGCACAACACAATACTGTAATGACTACTCCAGAAGCAGTAGCAGAAGCATATGAGAAAGGAACAGAATGAGAAAGGAACAGAATGAGAAAGAAAGTCAAACTCAGAATCCGAGTCCCGCAGTGTTTAATGCAGACTCTAAATACTTCAAACACGCCTTTGCACACTATAACTTGATCATGACCCGCACCGTATAGTAAGCATTTGTACCCCGCCCAGGACCCAGAGAGCCGCCATATGCAGAGAGACGAAGGGGCAAGGTGAGGGGCAAGGAAAGCAAAAGTACCTGATTAGCTGTGACTCAGATTCAGCTGTAGGTTGACTTTGAGAATCCCAGGTGGAATACCACCCAATTTGTATTTCTCGTTGAGACTCTGCTGCGTCGACTCCAGCCCAGGCTGACGCTGAAATATCGACTCTGTTGTTTTTCTTTTTTGCCTTCGTTGATTTTAATTTGTTACCGCTCTCTCTTTCTTTCCACTTTCTTATTGATCTATCTTCTCGCTCGCTTGTTTCTTGCCCCTGAGTCTTCAACGACTCCCTGTACACAAGTATCAGCAAATTCTTTCAACCTCGCCTTCCTCCACAATCACCCTTCAACTTGATAACTGTGCTATAGGAGTTTGACGTTTGTTGCTGACAGCTCGGTAATCCAATTGTAACTGGCGCTCAGCCTTCCGCGTCTTAGTATTTTCGCCTAGCTTCTCGGCCTCGAGGATAGTTGGACGTCTCTCCTCGGGCGGTGGCTCGCCTTAAAATGAGCCACTTCGCGAGGCCGCGGTGGTAAAGACCGTCAGCCTCTTAGGAGGTATACAAATCCGCTCGAATGATGACGGCTCGTCCAACTTGTCAGCTGGTCTAGAATCTTTTCGCAAGTCCGTTGGCAAACTGGTTTCCTGTGGTGCCACAATCGCGATGCTTCTATAAGTCGTGCAACAATCTCGAAATTTTTGGGATATGAGAGTGGATAGCACAGCTTCTGGGAATTTGAAACGTTTTCGTTCTTTGACCTCACGAGCTCCAGGGGAACATAAAGCGGACCCGATGGTCGTCTCCGCTGCAAGCCGTGGCACACATCCCCAAGCCGGTCCATGACAGGATCAAACGGCATATCAATTGAGGAAGCTACTCGTCTTGCAGGACAGGACGCTGTTGGGCGGGTCCTTGGCCTCTTGTGCGTAAGGTTCTGCCAAATACATCCATCGTCAAAAACGTGTCCCAATGTGGCCACCTTGAGTTGATGATGCCCGGTGAGCTGAGATGGCCTCGAATCCCATCTGAAAGGTAAGACGCCTGCAAGCCCGCTGCAAAACGCAGAACAACGCCTGGCCAGTAACCACAGGGCGCAGAGCATCGCATCGCCATCGACTGCCACCCCGAGGAGGCGGTGGCAGCGGTGACGGCGGCAGAGCCACTACGACACTTCTCAATGGCTCGAAAACGAAGACATCTCGGTGTTGATAATGTGTCACAGACACTGCACGATGAAAAAAAAGAGAAGAGCCAAAAGGTGGTCCGCTCCTAGTGTCCTTGTGTTCACAGAAGGCCATTTCTGGTGCGTCTGCAGGGTTTTATGGCACATCGGTTGTGTGGTGCGTGGTTGGGGTTGTGATGTTTCCCAACACGCTGTGGCCATGCGCCGATGACCCCTGTGGAACATGTCAACTTCTCCCACACGCCTCATCTTTCCCGATTTCATCAAATGACCTTTCTCCCTACCAGCACGGCCAATCTGCAACTGTACTCGCCTATAAAGTTCGAGTTGCCGGACCGGTACCAGTTCACCTTCTCCACCATATCCACCTCCAACAGTGGACCATCAGATGAAGTTGCAACAGTTGGCTGCTTTCATGCAGCATAAGCACACCTTAATGGTACTGTACGACTTGAGCTTCATGGACCGCTGTCAACCAGCATTGTCGGGAAATATCTACCAAGAAGAACGCGGGAGGGAAGATCGCTCGATGGGAAGTGCCGATCAGCCACCAACCCAAATCCACCTGAAAATAGCTTATCTGCCGTGAACCCGTTGTTGGATCGCAGTTGCACAATCGCGAGTTTCCGAACCAGGCATCCATGATTATATCTCAGTAGGTAACCTATTATTATATCCGGGAAAACTGAACACTTGATTGGGCGTCGGCCATCTTACCTGAACTTTCTTCGATTTCATGTGACAGCAATCTCTTCGTCCCTTGGGTTGAATTATTGATTATAAATCGCAATGGTCATCAGTCGTATGTAATATATAATTGGCATGTACCACCCAACCATTCTGCAGATGAATAGCCTTCGCTTACATTTCCCATAGCATCCCCATATAACCTCCTTTGTGGAACGACGATGAAGATTCAAAGACGAGAATGCAAGTTGCCATATCATGAGCAAGGGAACCTTGTGAGAGCACGCACTCAGAAAACTCGCGGATGTGGTACCATCTTTTAAGCTGGCTTTTAACTTGCTCCTGTGGCCCGATTTGTTGGTATTGACGCAGTGGCTGCGTTGCTGTCTCTCCCAGAAGATGCACCTCGACTACTTGAGCCAACTGATCAGCCTCTCGGTAGTCGCCTGAAATGCAATATCTACCGTACATGCGGACCTGATTAAGATTCTGTCATATCTCTGTTTTTCGCCTGAGCTACCGACCTCCCGGCACATAAAATTGGGCTGGGTAAAGGAAAAAGACGGAAAGGCGGTTTCTGGGAAACAGAAAGCTTTGGGAACACGAAGAATACTGTTGGAGCCTTGCGAGAATAGTCGATATGAATTTTATAAGTATGATGTGTACGAGCAGCTGACGGCAGTAACCACCCAGGCGCACGTAAGCACATAATCGTGAGATGGCAATGACGACGAAGACTGTGAGTTAATGAGAGAATAAGAACATGTTGTAATTGCCGTTGCGTATTCGGTGCAGAATGAACCACTTCATGGAGATCGAGTTAGATCGAGTTCGTGAGACCTGAGCGAGTGGTGGACAAAATCGAGCCCTTGATACCTGTGGCAGAACCACTAAATCCTTTGATGAGTTAGTAACTTCTCGTTCTGTAGTAATAGAGGGATATTGCTTGCTTCAATGGCTGAACCAGAATTATGATGCGGAATATGGAATTGGGATGCCGGCCGAGATCCTCCAATTCCCCAATTTCTGCTTAACACGCGAGAAATATCTTCAGCGCTGGTATCAGTGACATGCAATAGTTGCAAGGTTACAACTCGAGGTACTTGTAGCCTAATTGAAGGCTTAATAGCAATAATACAACTCGGGCGGAATCATAGTTAAAGGGTTCGACTTTTTATATTTGAGTGTAGTTTCAGCACTGTCACTCTTCATCCTCGTAAGTATGTGGTTCGGAACTAGCAGAACATATGGAATTGATGAGAACATAAGATATCCAATATAATAGAACGAATGTGTATAAGATGTGATGTATAATTTGGTAGAAGGTGTCGCGTCATCCGTGTACATCGGGACACGGCAATGGTGGGTCCTATCGGTCTTTTGATTTTCCGGGCCGACGTCCCTCACAGCCCTTCCTCCTTGAAAGAGCGGGACTCCTCTTGTATCAAGTCTCTTGCATTGACGTGTTTGTACTATTTGTTTATTCTAATATCTACTGACCTATTATTCTGGCCTTACAATCTTCTCGAAGAGACATCATCCTTGAGGAATGGGTATGCCCGACTCTCATGGTGCAAACTTGGTATTCGTCTGTACCATGCCCAATGAAAGCCGCCTCTGGTACACATGCGCTTTTCTTACTCCGACATAAAAAAAAATTCCTTTGAAGGAACCGATTGCTCAAAAGCCTGAAACGAATCCAGGACTATATCCAGAGACAACGGAAATACTCAGGAGGCAAAAATAGAGAAAAGGAAAAAGATCCTGCCAAAGGAAAAAAAAAAGAACAACAATAAATGAAATTAGGATTGGTCTAATTTAGATCAAAACATCCGTGGATGCCATCATCACCTATATTCAAAATGGCTTGAAACTGAAATCAATGTTTGAGGCGTTGAAGTTGCCCGGGTTGAAACTTGAACTTGGCTTTGCTTGACCAGTAGTTGCATGACTAGCACTGGAACTCATTTCTGCTTGGGCAGTTGCTTTTGTAGGTGCTTGGTTTGTCATCGGAACCTGCTTCGCATCACTTGGGCGTGTAGATGCAGTGCGAAAGTGACCATGTGGTCTGGTTGTGCTTGCTTGATTTGGTTGGTAGTAGCTGGGGTTTTGTTGCAAGCTTTGAAGGTATGCAGATGAGGAACCAGCACTTGAGCCAAAGCTAACAGAGGCACCAGAGAATTGTTGACTGTGGGTTTGGTGACGGCTGGGAGCTTGTCTGAAGTTGAGCGTGCTATTCGCATGGCCAGCGCTAGCATTGAATCTCTCTCGCTCTGCAGCTGCTTGCTGTAGTCTCAACTCGTGCTGTTGAAGAAGTGACATGCCTGTATTACCACGAATTGTGTCCATGAGATCTGGCTGCGAGCTTGGGCGATGTGCATGGTTGACTTTGGGTTGTGGTGTAGCGCTTGCGCCTGAAGACGTCTGACGAAGGATCTCAAGAAGCTCATGGGAGTGGTTGCCCTTTCCGAGATTGGGAGTGAGAGCGCTGCTTTGTGAATCATTGGATGCCTTTCGTGGTTGCTGCAAGTTGAATGATGGTGAATCTGGACGGAGTTGGTTTGAGGCGCTCTGTCGTTGGTGGTGTTGGGCTGGCATTTCAGGCTTGACGTTGGTAGTGAGCTGAGCACCAATGTCTCTTGCGATTTGGGAAGCCGACTTCTGCATTGACCGATTGACTGTTGGCGAGCTGGTGGCACTGCTTTGTTGATTGTGAATATAGGCCAACACGCTAGGACTGTGACTTGGATACTTTTGGCCATAACTAGAACTTCCTGGAGTTGCATATGGATTGTATAAGCTTTGTGCTTCACGTTTTCCAACAGTTGCCTTGTATGCCTCCTCTTGGATGGTCCTCAGGTCTTTTTGAGCACTGGTGAATCCACGTTCATGTGTCAAGTTGATGGCTTGTGGAGTAGTGAGTTGCAGGGCAGCTGCAGGGAAGAAAGTGCGGTCATCGCCGTCATGAAAGGTGGCAGCGGATTCATGTACCTGAGAAAGTTGCTCTCTCATATGCTCAGGGAGTTGAGGAGAGAGGGGGGCAGTTGCACTTTCAGCAGCGGTGCGTTGTTGGCGGAAAGTAGCTGTATGTTCAGGATCGGCTGGATAGCCTGGATCTCCAGGAGCCACCCATTTGACCTCCATACCACAAGGTGGAAATGGGATGTGATCAAGGGGATATCTTCGATGATTCTCTGGGTCGCCATGCATCCGTTGATAGATTCCCCACTACCACAAGTTAGCATACGTCTCATTGTATCTGGGAATGAAAGCGATGGGCATGGAGTATCAATGGCTATTGAAGAGATGAGAGGATACACAAATGTGCTTACATTCGCGTTAGGGTCGACACGTCCATCCTTGGGGTATCCGCCCTTCTCCTTGAAGACAAGCTTCTTCATGGGCTTGTTTCCATTCTGGAGATACAACTGATAGAGCTCCTCCACGTCTGGGTCATCCTCTTGCTTGAATCTTTCTTGAAACATTTGGGCGACCTTGTACTCGGGGGTGTCGCGAAGTGCTTCGTAGAGATCTTGAAGGGTTGGTGTCGGCGCAGTACTGGTCATGGTCGGAGGGGCACGCGCAGGCATGCCATCATGTGCAGGCATCCTGTGACTATGCTGTTCGACGTAGGCCAAAGCTTGACCAGACGGGTGATTCATCATTCTGGTTTGGTTGTGTTCTTGGGATGGTCGGTGGTATTGAAGGGCCATCTTCAGGTCCATTTTGTGATGTGCACTTTGGATGGACAAGTTCAGACGCGTAGATGACTTGCACTCAAAATATAACCAACGCTCATCTTCAACGCGTCCACGCGTCTCCATTCACTGGGCAACCACCACTCACTGAGCTCCAGTTTCTTGATTAAACTTAGCTCTAATACGAGAAACTTCAACATACTTCTAACGATCGTATTCAAAACCTTGATAAAAGGTTGACATTACACCTCTCAGGATATTCTTTTTCAATGTTTACTTCGTATAATTTACGCGACTGTCTCTGTCTGTTTCAGATTGTCTAAATAAGGAGTGGCCATATTTTTCTACCACACATCAGAATTCCTATTGATTTACCTGTAATATACTAGTGATCTGGAGTAATCAGCAGTATCTTCTTCGCAGAAGATTACTTGGTGGTCAGATAAAGCTAGAATTTAGGACGTCATGAAGAAAGGTTCTTGTTGATTTTGAGGTGATAGATTATATCTGATATGTTAAGACACATTAACTTACAACTGAAAGCTGTAGAATATGGGCTGACCTTCTTTCTGGGTTTTGAACTCATCAGGTTGTTTAATAAAAGAGTCATGATAAGGTGGAAAAAACCACAAGTCGCTTGATTATTGTACCACCCTCATCTAATTATAATTCAAACCTTCTTGCAAGTGTTACGTTCGCATTCATGCAAGTGATTGGCATAGCTAATAGTTCTTTTAGAGGTATGAGACTTGGGTTTTGTTCTTTGCACAAAGCGTATTTTTTTCTATTCATATTGATTTGAATCTTTTCTATAAGCATTACATTACCTAGAAGAAAATATTTTGCCATATTATAATGTGCGTAAGAGATCCAAGAGAGATCCAAGTTGGCTGTTGGCAGATTCTGTGCCCCTTGACGTATGTCATAGGTCATGTGATGAGTCATACTGTCATCAGAATGGGCTTTCATCTGAGCGTTTGAATCAGGAGAAATATTGATGTTATACGCGAACATAGATAGATGTGTTTAATCTTTCAAATTGAAATGCTTCTGGTATCCTGTAAACCTAATCCAGGTTTTGGGACTGTCAGGTGGCCTTTCTTGGGCTTGCAACCTGGAAGCTTTCCATTTCCTAGTACTATTCATCTTACTTTACATTTTTGTCTGTTACAGTATCTAGAAAATGAATCATTGAGCCTTCTGCTTTCAATTGCTGAAACTTTTAAGTCATGAACCATGCTAGAAACCCCATTTCTTTCTTGAAGGGTTGAATACCACCAATCTCCTTGTCTTTTGACACTGGATGAATAACTTCACACTTCGCATGAGTCAGTTATTTTGCCATCTAGAAACTGAGATATTCGTTTACATACTTCAATTTTTATTTACCCAGAATCAAAATTATATTATCGATGCGTGGCTATCACGAATAAAAAGTGATTCATTTAGTCTGAAGATAGGAGCTATGGTGCTGCGAGGGTAAGATTAAGGAACGTCTTGCGCCTCTTCCTTTATTCTAAGCATTCGTGATCTTGGTTTAGTGGTATGACTGATCAAGTGACGTTGGTGATGTGGGTCTCATTCAAGTGGTTTGCCAAACTCTCCCTCTGAGAAAGATAGGGGCAAATCGGCTAACTTCATGCACATGAAAGAACTTGACATGAACACTTCCTTACTTCACAACCAGCAACCATTCAAATCTTTTCCTTCCAGATGAAATTTCTATTTCTTTGCTCTGACCGTTTAGAGATGAGGTCGTTTTGTTGTGGGCACACCCTTGAAGGTGATGGCGAGCTACCTTCGCGCTGATTTTCTGGTCCCGCACAACAAACAATCCTTCACCTTGACCATTCACACTCCACCAAATTCCAGCGACAACCACTTCTCATGCTCTCAGAAGCCTCTCAGAGATTCTTGGACCTCCAAAGATCCTCTCTGAGCTGTACGGATCTGCTGGATTCCGTCGCCCCCGCTGCTCCGCAACTCTCGGGGCCAGGCTTGAATACCTTGGCCTGAGCGATCGAGAGAGCAACAGGTCCAATGAGGACCTTTCGTATTTCTCTTCGAATTCCAGTGCGCCATACGAATCTTTATATCGATCTCTCGACCCCCTCTCGACATCGTTCCTCCCCGGCTCAGATCGTCCCCTCTACCGTCCTCTCGACAATAAGCAAGTCTCCTTGGCTCATCCTCTCTCTGTTGTTTGGTAAGCTTCTATCCAATTCTCAAATTGACAGGGAGCGCGCGAAATCATTCTAACAATATGAAAGCCCTCACACCCTTTTCAATCCATTTTGGACAAGCCCCACTTGCTTTGATAGCTTGATCGGGGATCATATCCTATTTCAAGAGCCTCCAATCGTGGCATGATCCGTGCGCTGTAGGGCTGGCAGGTTCAACATATGCTCTTGTTTTCGGTCTGAAGGAGCTGGGTCTTCGAATCTGTATCACCTCTTCTGGAAAATACATTTGATTGTGAGTTTGCCATCTTCTTTTAAGATTCAACCAATATTGATTTGAAACCAGCGACGAGTCCATACCTTCATAAATACTCAACACGCCCAGGTGCTTCTTTGATTTTAGATCGTTTGTAACGCTGCTGGCGCCAAGGACCCGTTACCCAATCTGCAAATCCCCTTGAGGTCGGACACAAAAGATGGACAGATTCTATGAAGGAAGAATGGGAACAACGTCTTCCCTCCCTACACTCCTCTATCAACATTGAAGAAGAAATACAACCTGCCTTTCGGTACATCCTGGGAGGTAGTGCTTCTGGCAAGGCAGCTCCCCCCGCCAAGGTCTTTAAGACCAAGGCACCGGGTTCCCTCCCTACACTCCTCTATCACTTATTCTATCAACGCTGAAGAAGAAATACAACTTGCCTTTCGGTACATCCCCGGGTGGTAGTGCTTCTGGTATAGCTGCTCTACCCGCCAAGGTCGTTAAGACCAAGGCACTGGGTTCCCTCCCTACACTCCTCTATCACTTCTCAAGGAGGCAGAGTGTCTTTTAGAGAGGGTGTTCAATCTGCAGATCTTGACTCAGACGCATAATTTATTCCAAAGGGTTCCAAGGGAGCACGACACGTGCGCAAAGTCACTTGATGGAGAATCTGAAGATGAGAAACATACTCTGACGGCAAGCTGTAGGGTGCTGGAGTAGAGATTTCAATGAAGCAGAGCCCAAGTCTGATGGCGAAAGTTCTGCTGACGGGGTCGATACCATGAAAGTCTTGAAGAAGAGTCCCGAACCTTTGACACCAGTCAGGGCAACCAGTACCACTCAAACCCCACCACCTCCGAGTACAAACATCAAGCTCAAACCCAACACAAGCTCGCGACGTGGTTGTGGTAGAATGTAATTTAATGTATCATAGAAGAATAGCAATGAAACGTGTAGTTCAACTCAAGGATTGTAAAACTATCCACTTTCCAAGCACTTCATGCGTGTGCACATACTACTAATGCTGTTCACAAATACAAGTACGCAACGTAGAGTACTAGTAGTAGTAGATATATTACATTTTAGGGACCATTTTGTAAAGGAAAATAGAAGTAATGATTTCTATAGAATCTCTAGACATTTCTCTCTGTATTTATACGCGTCGCTATACGAATTATTATAGTAGCTAGTATGTCGAGTAGAGAAATCTTTTATATCTTTATTACCGTGTTTTTACGTGTTAAGGTTTAAGATCTATAAACCCACTTTCCAAGGTCTTAAGCCTCAATTTAACCCATATATTATATCCACAAGTGCGCACGACCGCACCCGGCACTCTCGAGTCCGGAAGGGATATTCCTACAAAGACCTTCAAGGTAGCTTTTTGGCTACAGCTGGGATAAGACTCACTAATTCAATCCGATATATAAACGGTAATACGATCTTAGCGGCAAATGATTGTTCTGTATTATGGAAAGTCAATGACCGCGAGATGTTTAACACTCCAGTCTCAATGTACAGATACATTGCTTTGTTGAATAAAGTGAAATAGGAATGGATTAATAGGTACAGCAAGCAAGATTACTTTACTTTCCACCCCAAACATCCACATACGTTCAAATTCGTGGTAGAGATAACAAGTGATGAACATGTAATTTCTTAGTATTCTAATTTTAGTGCATTTGTGTACGTTAAAACTTCTTCTTGTTAGCAGATTTCACAACTTGATAAATCCAATTTTGAGGTTTTGCCTATAAAATTGCTTGGTTTCAATGCCACAGGTATTGCAGACGTAATAAGCTTACAGATCTCTACACTCCGCGTGAGTTAATTAGTTGGACAGCATCAAGTTTCCGTTACTAAGGGCGCTTTAGGAAACTAGTTCTGTAATTTCACAGGTGGTGGGAGTGTGATTTTCCAACTCAAGAGTATGTGCTGGCATGAATGTCCACCCTAGTTGAGGGGCTCGACCATTGTAATTGTGGAAAGGAGTCAATATTCGTTTATGAATCAATAATGGTCAAGAAGATACGCCATCTCAATTCTATAATAAACAATACCAAAGAGTCCGTCGGAAAATATTCAAGATGTTGAAGTACTCCTTAATACGTCTCTGGCAAAGTCAACGTACGTTCACAAATGTTCATATTTTATGGTCTCTCATAGCTCTTTTAGAAAAGCACTCTTGTTACCTCTATGTCCGAGGCGAGAATTAACCTTGATATGCTTATGTTACAGTACGAGCCTTGGAAAGCTTGTTTTTAGACTGCTACACGTTCTACAAACCCTGTTGCATACTTATTAAGCTTTGGATCTTCCGTAGTAGGTACGGGGTTACAAACTTGCTTCGAAGTAAAATCGTTTGGAATTCAACGCATTGGTCCCATGAGGGTTATATTTGATTCCTGCATAAATTTACTGCCAACCAGAGCTACATACAGTATTGTGGCATTCATATTTGCAGCGGTGAACATGTGCCAAGATCGTAAAAAAGGCTTTTGAGATTCTCACGACCCCTCGCCACCCTTAATAATAGTAAAAGGTTGGCCATAGCTCAAGAAGCTACCACTCGGCCGTTGAGATTTTCAAAACTCAAAAGCTGAATTCGATGGAGTGTTCGTTCATCCGGTATTCGGCAAATATGGGTCGATTTGTAGCGGTGAACATGTGCCAAGATCGTAAAAAAGGCTTTTGAGTTTCTCACGACCCCTCGCCACCCTTAATAATAGTAAAAGGTTGGCCATAGCTCAAGAAGCTACCACTCGGCCGTTGAGATTTTCAAAACTCAAAAGCTGAATTCGATGGAGTGTTCATCCGGTATTCGGCAAATATAGGTCTATAGAAAACCATATAAGTATAACATTCAACTGTCCATTCTACTGCCAGCCACCCTTCGCCTTCTCTCCCAAGTCCCTTCAACTGTCCGATCAACCTTATACTTCCAACCAAAATTTTCTCCGTACTCAAAATGAAGTGTATGTTCCATATTATTCTTGGCAAAACCCTTGCTAATCATCCGCAGTCTCCCTCATCATTCCGGCGGCGATCGTCCTCTTCTCAACTTCAGCCAACGCCGCTTGCAGAGTCGTAAATGGAAAACAGGATTGTCCGAATAATACGTACTGTCACACAATGTGCACGGACAGATACAGAAATTGCCTCGAGTTTGAAGCAGGGAATGGCATTTGCCGCGCTGGATAAATCTCAAGCGTGTTGAGGGACTTTGGGAACCATTAAGACCGTCGGCTTAATTGATCATTGGACAATCGTCAAATTTTTCAACGGCAATCCTCAATAATACATGCACCACATCCACCAAGTTTACTTATTGGTGGGGGGAAAGGGGGGGGGGTTACCCAAAATGAAATCAAGCCCATAATCAAAATCACCTTATTTCTCTGTGGATTGTGCTCGCTCTTAAAACCTCGTAACATTACTCTCTGTTGATGGTCTGGACGTAATATCAGTGCGTCTTTCCTTTGCGCTATCGCTTGCCTAAGTGTCTTATCCGAGTTTGGTTATGCCTCCGTAACAGCGCCGTTTAAGGAGAGTATGAGACATTGTCTTTCTGCAAGCCATCCACTACCGCAGCCCTATGTATGAAGGAATCGTGGGGTAGTAGAACAGGGCATAGCGCATAACCATCAATTAAGTCTACTTTCATTTCGTAAGATACTAGAAGATTCAAGCTACTTTTCTCCGCCGTACATATTTAGGCCTTCGATGTCAATAGTGCAACGCAAAGTGTAACTTATATTCGTTATTGTCTTATCCCCTGAGGCCCGGAGAGGCAAATAGTAGAGACTGAAAAATCCTCCATCATCTTTATAATACTGCTCGACCCAGTGTAAATGGAGCAGGCTGTTCTGTACCCGATCAAGTAACATGCGAAAAGCTATTAGAGGCGTACTTGCTCCATGACCCTTAGAAGTACATGTAGAAAAACTCACAAGCAAAAGCAAGATGAAATCAGGACCGATGTATTCATGATCTAGTGGGTAGACCTCACGTTTCCCACGCCCTCAAAGCAAAATGTAGCTCAATAAGAAAAACTCCATGACCGCCCTTGCCCACTGAAACCCCGCCATTAACCCCACGTTCAACCCGTCATCAGTCACATATCTCATTCGTCCCATGTATCATGACCATTCCAGCTCGCCCGTATGTGCTCATGCGCTAGGGAACTCCTTGGGCCAGCACTTCTCCTTGGGCCAAGTCTTTTGATCGTGCGTCTCGGCATGGACCTCCAACTGCTTTATATTCGTGTTGACGATTTCTTTTCGGCAGTTTGCGCACTAGATTGCGCAAGGGGCGATTAGCATTGTATCTCTCGGTAGGCTCTCATTTGTGCCTCCTTTCGTTGTTATTTTGGGAGATTGCGATCCAGAGGGGGGGGGGAATGTTGCTATGCTTTGGTCTGATCGGGATGGGCTTGTTGCTCGAGGTCTCAACGTACGATGGATGTTGGCTTTGGGGCTTTGACAGGGAGACCATTTGCTTTGACGGGTGCGCGTGTGCCAGCTGCTTCGGCTTTGCGGTGATCGCGTTGGACCTGAGGAAGGGTTGTTTATCAGCGTTGATTCTCCATATGTTGCCTGCCTTTTCTATTTCTCCGACTCTTGTAGAGAACTCACCTTCATCTTCTTAGAAACGGGCATGTTTGCGGTGTGAATGGAATAATTAGAGGGTGGTTGCTTCGTGGAATAGGTTTGCAGTGCTTGAATGTATGTGTGGCTGGTGGTTGTTGTTGGCGAGAGGTGGGAATAATCTTTGAAATTCTCGCCTCGCCGCGCTTCCCCCAGGCAGTTTAAGCTTAAATCCAGCCCCACTAAATATGGCGGGGTGCGTTCACGTGATAGCCCCTCCTTTTCCTCATTTCCTGTTTTGGTAAGTAAATACTGGTACTCGAGACAAGCGGTAAAATTAATGACAAGGAATAGCAGTCTACCATCCGGGTTTCCTCTAGGTTCTAAATTCACCGCTGGGATGGAGGGTCGACTAACCAGTTTCTTGGAATGTATCGGGGGTTATTTTGCCTCCGAGCGAACGATATTTCTGACAGGGGTATCGGGGTTCTTCTACATCAACCTACCTGAAACAATACCATTAATTGTAATATGTGGGAAATCGAATCCCCTTATTGGCTCCTTTTTTGGATCGGTGATGACTTTTCAATTAACTTGATACTAATTTCTCTTAAGAATAATACATATAAAGCTACCAATACCCCCTCCAAACTTGAACAAATCATTCAGTGATCGGTTTATCTATTGGAATTTCCCACACTTTGTTCATTTACTTCTGATAACTTATACGTCGCTCCAACAAACCAATTCCGAAATGTCGAAAACCATTGTGATCCTAGGAATCACTGGAAAACAGGTAAATAATCTATGCAACAGCTTGTTCGGAATAACAACTAAGATCTGTAGGGTGGCTCAGTAGCTGATCGTTTTCTAGCCCTTCCGGATTGGAAAATCCGAGGCATAACCCGCAACACTACCTCCAAATCTGCTCTAGCTCTTTCATCCAAAGGAATTGAACTCACTGTTGCAGATTTCAACGATCCCCCAACTATCAAGACTGCCTTTGAAGGAGCGACGGCAATCTTTGTTAACACAAACTTCTGGGAACCATTCTATAACCCCGGAACCAAAGCTCTCCTCAAAGAAGGCCAATCGCTTAACGAATACTGCTACGAAGAAGAAGTACAACAACTCAAAAACATTGCGGATGCAGCAGCAAAGGCTGAAGGACTGGAGAGAATCGTGCTCAGCGGCCAGTGTAATGTTGATAAGTGGGCAAATGGAAAGTACAAAGCGGTGTATCATTTTGATAGCAAGGCAAGAGGGGCTGAGTATTTGAAAGAGAAGTATCCTGATCTGGCTGAGAAAATGACCGTCTTGATTATGGGGAACTATATGGCGAACTGGAAGGATGGTCTGTATTTCCGAAAGGTATGATCGAAAACTCCACCTACTTGACTTTCAGTTCTAATCAGAGTATAGACACAGGAAGGAACTATCAAGCTCCCCGTCCTCAAAGGAACTCAACGCAATCTCCGGGCTCAAGTTGATACCCGTGACACGGGTGCTTTAGTCTACGCAGTTCTCAACTGTACACCAGGGAAAACCATCCTCGGAGCTGGATGCCAAGTTTCCTGGACCGATCAATTCAAGAAATGGTGTGACATGCAAAACTTGATTTACGGGGGTTTTGATGAGGTAACGCTTGAGCAATTCGAGAAGTTTGCTCCTATTCCGGGTTTGATGACGGAGATTGGTGAAATGATGTTATTCGAGGATGAGTTTGGATATACTGGTGGGGAGGAAATCGTGCTTCCTAAGAATGTGAGTTTTTGTGTCTTGTTCCACCAACAGACATTTCGCTAATAAGTTTCTGGTAGTTGGGCGTGCCTTTTCAAATGACCAGTGGGGAGGAGTACGTCAAGAAGGAGGATTGGTCTCGTGTTTTGGCTACATTGAAGTAGTCAAGACTAAAACTGTGTGCTGCAGCTCAAGATATGATTGACGAGCACCAGTCACTTGCAATCTTTTAGGGTCTTTATGTATTTGAAAAAAAATCAGTTCATTTCCTTCTACTGAAGTGACTCTCCCAACGCTTCATCTCACTGCTATACAGTAGAAGATAAATTGGCGGTCCAAATATCTTCATATCCTCAGAATGTGATACCTAACTTCTCTTCTTAGCTTCACTCATTACGTTATCTATTGCCCACCAGCCTACTTCGCACCTTTCTTACTTTCATTAACACCGTTTTTCTTACCCGACGACTTCCGAGTCTGAACCTTCATCATACTATCCTGCTCATCACGACACTGATCACTCAACTCCTCATCCTCCTCTCGTCTACCAAGTCCCGCTGCCTCCTTCTGGTGGCATTCTGGACAAAGATCCTTGATAGTTTCGACTTTTCTCTCAACTTTGTGTAGGAGGTTGTATCTGTAACGACAGAACTCGGGCTTGTACCGGATGTGGTGGCTGCAGAGTGTGTAGGACTTAATTGTTTGGAAGCACATCTTGTGTGGTTTATATTCAGGGTTGGAGGGTTTTCTGCGGATGATATGCAGTTGTACTTGTCGCTAGTATTAATGATGCTAAATATTTCGCTCGGTAGAAGAAATCTTCTTTAGGTAAAGAATGTGTTGGAAATAGCTGGAGCTCAAAAGATTATGGGGTGTAATAGAGGCAAAAGTACATGAAGACTTAACATCCTTCTGCGCTTTGGATAACCGCCACTACCTATTCAATTAACCAAATCTGGGGTAACATCAAAACATTCTCCATATCCCAAGCTCCCGAGGTCATGCAAGGTCTCTACGACTATCAAACAACCCCCAACAAAGATCTCTACGCCAATCTAGTTCTCAACATCGTCGCCAGCAACGATACTATAATTCTTACTCTGGTCTACCTCAAGCCCATCCCCAATCGTCCAGTTTACGCCCCGTTCTACAAACTCACTCCTGTTACTTCGACCGACGTCTCCCTAACCCTCCACCAACTTATGGGTCTCTTCCCCACTCCTGCACTCCCCAGATGGTCCTGGTACTCAGCAAGCTTAACCCCTAATACCGCCTTGTATTCCCAACTCAGCAATCTCCTTACCACCGCCCCGGAAGTTTTCACCATAGCAGCTCTGCAAGCAGGCTCCGTAGTTGGCACCGTTCAGCCCATCAGCTCCAATGTAGTCTTAGCGGGGTAAAAGCGAGGGGGAAACGCACTAGGACTCCAGGCTGTCAATCAGACGTGGTTCTCTGTCAACGCGGCGTGGTGGAATGCTGAAGATGATGTGGCTGCTTATGCGGCTTTGGCATCTTTACACAACAAAGTTGAGGCTCTAATAAAGGGCGCAGGAGCTGACGTGAGATATATTTTTAGGAATGATGCGAACATTCACCAGTCTGTGATTGCTTCATATGGGGCTGCTAATGTGGCACGGTTGAAGAATTTTCAAAGGGTTTATGATCCTCAGGCAGTTTTTCAGAAGCTTGTTACGGGTGGTCAAAAGCTACCAGGCATTGACATGAGTAATTGAAAGAAGCGAAAGGGTGTTTGCAAAGTGTTTCGAGGTGTGGTTCTGGTGTAGAAGTACCCATTTCTTTGATGATGTAGCAAGTTGACATAGATATATAATATTCTATTACCATGTGTAACCTAGCCCTAACTCTCACTCAATAAAAATCCATTATTCTGTAACTTCTGGAATACTTGCTCCGGATCATGCCTCAAGGCTGTCTCCTTTAACCTCGCCAGACAATCTCTCCCATATGAAGCCAGCGGATTCTGATCTCTGGAAGCATCATTCATATAAAGAAAAGAAATATCCAAATTGGCCTCCCTTGTGAGTTTCCCCCAAAATTCAGTTGTCTGGATAGAGACTTGACGCACCAAGTCGTCATCTTCTTCATTCTCCCAATCAACAGTTGTTGTCCACCCTAATCACAATACTGTTAGCCCAAGGAAACACCCTTGACATAAAGACTTTTGGAGGCCCATAAAATTCTGGTTAACAAACGGAATACACAACGCATTCCCTCCCTTTTGAATTCCCTGCTCAATGAGACCGGTCCCGACATGTTGGAGGACAAATGACTGGTTAGCGCCGGTGGCATCGCGTACTGCAAGAGCTTTCTCGCTCCAGAATGTGTAGGCTTGGTACGTGATATTCGTATCTGTCCGGGAGGCAAACGCTCGATAATCATGTCTAATTTGTAATTAGTCCTGTCTATGTTTATATCTATGTGTATATAGCACTTACCTACCACGCCCAGGCAGAAAAGCCCCTGCAACCCACTTCTGCAATTCCGCAAACCCAATATTCCCCGCTGGGAACACCACATTCCCCACCTCTAGCCCATAGATATCGCCAAACACACTTGATGGCTCTTCCAGAGGCTCAGAGTATAAAAGACCTACCAAAATGGAATCTAAAGATATACTAAGGGCTATAGTTGATTTAGGGTCCGATGAGCCGTTGGTTTGCCACGCATCGAAAGCTGTGAGGGCGGGCAGGGCCATAGTAGTGGGGTAAGTGGAGATCTGGACCCAGATAGTGGACACGGGTATTGTATACAGGTCATAGCGGGTTACAGTGCCGAAATTGGGACCGCCCCCCTTGAGCGCACGAAACAGGTCAGGGTTCGAGGCTATGTTTGTGTAAACGATAGTACTGTTTGCTAATACCACCTATATTTGGTTAAATCATGTAAGTAATTGAAAACATGAGCAAAACAAATACCTCAAAGTTCTTAACATTATCAGCCGCAAGGCCAAATTGTTCAGAGAAGTAAAAGTATCCCCCTAAACCGCCAAGCTAGGTAAGCGAATGGAAAGAAGAGAAGGGAGATGTTGAACAGACCACCGACCACCGACCACCGACCCCCCAACACCAACAACAGGCTCTCTCGCGCGAACTGTGAGAACCTTTGCTGTAGACAAGACTTCATACACGTCCCCCCAAACCGCACCAGGACCTACACTCGCAACACTTCGGTCCCTCGACAAAGTTATTTCTCTTAGCTTTCCCATATCCATCAAAATACCCTCCTTTCCTACGCTAGAAAACCCAGGGCTTGGAGAGTGACCACCACTGCGAACAGAGAATTTTACCGCGAAGAAGGTAATGATTTTAAGAGCTACAGAGACGTCTTGGGTGTTTCTGGGCATGACAATATGGTAAGGCTCGATCCAGCACGTTTGCGACCTAAGTGAAAAGGAAGTTTAAAAAGCGTCGGTGAAGAAATAATTGTTCTTTGATACAGAGGGACTTACCAGTTCTCTTCTACTAAGGTCTGGTTGATTGGGCTAGCATTGACTTGGGATTCTCCTAGGGAGATCTGTGCGGTTTGACATGCTACCTGAACAACATCTGCCGAGTTACTAGCTTGTGCGTATTGGGCAGCGAGGGATTTTATTTGAGAATTTCGTATATTTAGACTAGAAGCCAAGGTTTGGAAGTCGCCTTTGGTGGTATTAGCAAATAGAAATAGGAGAGCGTAGAACAGTTTCATGGCTCTATCTTGCATAGCTCTTTGGGAAGGTAAGAGCTTGGGTAGGGTAAATATAATGGTATGAAGATAAATGCTGATGTTAGTGTGGCTAGAGTTCTGGTTTAAAGTATGAAATTTATACTAGTTCTACGGCTACTATCTCCTGTACCGTACTGGGTAAATGTTAAGTGATTGAGCACGTGCTACCCTAGGTAGATAAAAATAGGCATTTTTGTACTAAAATTCCAAACGTCTTATAATAGATAGAACAATTTAAAACAAGATGTTTTATCTAATTATGGTAGAAATTTAGTATTCGATTACTGAATCTATAGAAAGAGTGCCTAGAGTTTATTTTAAAGATGTGAGGGTTAGAACCCATAGTGGGGCTCGGGCCTAGAGCCCTCGCTAAGCTAAGCGACCCCGCCTCTGGAACGCCATGGAATAAGATAGAATGCTATGACGCAGAAGATTGGTAATACTATGGAACAGTGTTGAATGCAATGGAAATGCTACATTTAGTATAAGAGTAGAGGAGGAACATGTATTTACAGACCACGTAGTTCTTAATTGAATATTGAACCCACACCTTTGAGTTGTTCGAGGTCTGGCCTCTCACAAAAGAAATATAAATCTTTTCCAAAAAGAAACGAAATACAGTCACGTTCTAGTCCTGTGACTATATATTTCCTTACTAAAACTTAAAGCGATTAATAGCCTGGATTTCTACGGTGTTAGAATTGACCTAATATTATACGTCATAATAATTCTATGCAAGGGTACTGATTCCTGGTAAAGTCTACCCCGAACGGTGTCGGAGATATGGATCCATAATTTATGTATTTAAGTCTAAGAGTACCGAATGTTATCAGCTCATCTCGATAGTTGAATATTGTTGAATAGCAGAATGAATAAGGTGAATACTATCAGGTATAGGAGCATGGCCTTGGACGTGCATCTCGATGTAAGCGCTACACTCACTGCACGCAGCCACGGGGAACAGTCCGGAATATGTATTGCTTGCAGGTCACAATGTAAGGCATGGATAACACGGAGAAATGCTTTTTCCCACTGACCCACTATCAACTGTACCTAAACTTCAACTCTGAGCTGTCTCCCACCCCCCTCGTCCTCACCGCCACCCTCTTCTACCACATCTATCATCCCCAATGCCGCCTATGCAGTTCTCAACCACACCCACCTAGCAAGCGAGCATTCCTCGTTTTCTCTACAACCAAATAACCACCAAACCCACCCTACCAAAATCCGATCTGCATTCTCAAACTGCTATCGTAACCGGTTCCAATTCTGGCGTCGGTTATGAAACCAGCCGACAACTCCTCTCCCTCGGTCTCAACAAACTCATTCTCGCCGTACGAAACGAAGACCTTGGCCATGCTGCTGCTGCTATACTCTCCTCTGGTCAAACACTCGCAAGTGACACCACCATTGAAGTATGGAAGCTCGATCTCTCCTCCTACGATTCCATCGTGACCTTCAGTGAACGAGCCACCACTCTCGAACGTCTAGATATAGTAGTGTTTAACGCGGCGATCACGCCGGCCGTATTCAAAATCAATGAGCAGACAAAACATAGTGAATGTATCCAAGTGAATTATTTATCAACCGCGCTATTAGCTATCCTTCTACTTCCTGTGATAGAACGCCAATCATCACCAACTCACCTCAACATCGTTTCCTCTGAATGAAGTCGCAGCCTGGACTTCGTTCCCCCAAAAAGACTCGACTTCCATCCTGGATGCGCTTGATACAGACGAGAAAACTGACATGGTCGACCCCATGTTCATTTCCAAACTACTCGGTCAATTCTTCGTCACTGAATTAGCGAAAAAGGTGCCATGTTCTATGGCGATCATAAATTGCGCATCGCCCGGAACTGTATGGGACTCAAGATTCAATCGGGAGTATGATGAGACTTTTGCTGGACAGATTGTGAAGTGGATCAATCGCATGTGTGGAAATTCATCGAGGGTGGCAGCAAGGATGATTATGGATGCGGTTGTTAGGGGGGAGGAGAGTCATGGGCAATTCTTGTCATTCCAGAAGATTGTGCCGTAAGTTAAATTCTAGTCCTACTGTTTAACCCAACTGCCCAGTTCTGTTCTAAAGACAAGGCAAACAGCTAACCCCACAACAGAATGGCTGCTATAATTTACACTCCTGAGGGAGAAAAGATCTCAGCCTAGCTTTGGGAAGAGACAATGGCCGAGCTTTCGTTCGCAAAGGTAGAGGGCATATTGAGCAGCATAGCGGTCTAGGAAGATGTCAAACATTTTCGCCCCGTTTTAGGACTTGAATTGTCTACGTCAACCTTATGTGGCTATTAATTTTGGAAGAGCAAAAGCTGTAATAATCTACTTATGTTGTTTACTTATATGCCTTTTGAAACTCGAGCATGGATATTGCTCAGGTTCATTTTTGTACATTCTAAGTGTACTCTTACACCACTAGTAATGAAACAACTGCTACTAAAGTGTTCTAAGGTACATGGGTTAATTACAGTAAGTATATGCTTCCACTAAATCATTTCCTCTTTTACTATCTTACTCTTTCTTTCTGTCTTTTTGCGCTTTCTAAGCGATCAGTTGATGGTCTCCCGCCCTCTCCCGCTGTTTTGGCCAGGCTAAAAACCTTGAAAACAGCCATTATGCCAACGGAAAAGACGCATAGTGTCAGGGGGATCTCGCTATGATCTAGATTCTACTACTACTACTAGCTGTAACGCTATCCACTCTCGTCTAAAAGCGTGTTCCGAAAGCGTAATTAGGAAAGTATAAAGGCGGAACCGAGTAGAATCCAAGCTTCATTTCTACCAGGTTTTGCAATGCGATGCTTATAGTATTGTAAAATGACCAGTCAGAGAAACTGTATACGGGTATATATTAGCAGATGCAGGAGAGTGGAGGTAAGTGACAATATCGATTCGAGCGCTGGGTATATTCCTCACTAGGAGGATTACCGAGAAACACAACAACGACCAACAGTGATGGACCTTTTTTTGACCTAAGATGGAATATCCGAAACGTAATGGGTAAGTCGTAGTTGTTGTCAATATCCATTTGTAACCTTCCTTTTGTGTACTAGCAGAGAAGCCATGTACCAAGCTGCTTCACGCGCCTCATTGTCCCCCGGACGATTGTTATTATTCCCTTGCTGCTCCGCCATCAGATTTATGTCAAACCTTGCTACTTATAAGTGGGTTAGGTGCGGCCATGTCACCTCAGGCTGATCAAAACGCTTCTCGACCCGATTAAAACAGTTATAGTTATCACACGATATCTCGTTCTAGGCCTGATTTACTAATATTTTTCAATATGGGCGTTCCATACAAGAAATCAGCGTCTCTTTCAAATCAATACGGAGGTCTTCATGCCAGCCGTTGGGTCGATCTTCTCTCAAAATCATGGATTCCATTCATACAACTGGCGCGACTGGACCCCTCGGCTGCCCTTTTCTTGATCTACTTCCCCCATTTGTTTGGAATACTACAAGCTGCAAATAACAATAACAGCCAGGTATCTGAAGTTCTACGAGTGTGCGTCTTGCTTCTGGCTGGAAGTTTCTTCTTTTCCAACACCGCACACACTTGGAACGACCTCGTCGATTCTCCCATCGACAAACAGGTAGCACAAACAAAAAACCGGCCGATACCTAGGGGAGACATATCACTTTTCAAGGCATTCTTATTCGCTAACAGTCAAGCGTTCGGAGCCGCGTTCTTCTTGCTTTTCTTTTCTCCAACGACTGCGTTGGCGACGCTCCCGACCATCATAGGGACAGCATACTATCCTTGGGCAAAACGGCATACCCATTTCGCTCAAGTGGTCTTGGGGTTGTGTCTAGCATGGGGAATCGTTGTTGGAAACGCGGCAATAGGAATCCAGAACCCCTGGAAGGAAACAGGAATTTTTCTCTTAGTTCTTGCATCGACGCTGTGGACTGTTATCTACGATACGATCTACGCATGCCAAGATATTGTCGACGACAAGAAGATAGGAGTGAAAAGTATGGCGGTTCTTTTTGGGGATAGTACAAAGGGCTTGCTCTGGGTGATGTTTTTTCTTATGGAAGGTGTGTTAGTTGCGTTTGGGCGGAGTGAGAAAATGGGATTCGGATATCATGCAGTTGCACTTGGGGGTTGTGCCGGCTCATTAGGACTCATGGTTTTGAATGTTGATTTAGATGATGGATCAAGCTGTTGGCGGTGGTTTTCATGTGGATTTTGGCTGACTGGGAGCTCTATCGCCGCGGGGTTGTTTGTAGAATATCTTGAGTTGTGAGAGAACGTAATCTTACTTCTTGCGTTACCGTCTTTAAGAGGCAGTAAGATCCATATCTTATTCGGGCCTTTACGCAGCCATAAAAGCAAGCATATTAGGCTATACAAACGCGCATATCAGTATATATACATCCGCTTAAGCTCAAAATCTTCCTCAGGCTCGATCTAAAACCGTTTTATTCCCTAATTCCAACTATATAATACAAAATCTTCACGTCAGAGCGAAAGTATGGAGTATTCAGAGGAAGATCAAGTGATAAGTGTGTATGTGATACAATATCTCATCAGTTCAATGGAGATTATTTACTGATTGTCTTTCACAGCCTCAACGGAATAGTCAGCACGCGAGTGATTCATCACGAGGATCGGTCATTTGCATTTCTTGTGACTATGGATATAGTAAAAGGCGAATCATTCTTCAAGCAGAAACCACCTCTCCACTTCCACGCCAACCAGGACAAATATATACAGGCAGTGGAGGTTAGGATGGGAATCAAGATCGAGGGGCGTGAATTGATCTTGGTGCCTGGAGAGAAGGAACACTGTATCAAGGCATGGGAAAACCACCGCTCGTATCCCCTTGTGACGGCCCAACAAGAGCCAGGGTGTAATTTTGTGAAATTCTTGCTTTCAGGGGAGAAGATATCCCAATCCTTCCAGTTCAACACCTTGTTCTTCGAAAATTGGTAAAAGTACCAGGACGAAGTGGTACAAGCGGGTGGGAATATTGATTTGATGCAGGTTTTAAGTGTAAGCTATTTCCGTTCGATAACTCCGCTATTGCCCAGGTGCTGACAGATGATTCAAATGATAGACATTTGATGCTGGGGGAACATATGTTTCTCTTCCGGCTTGGGTTCCATTTAGTAGTAGCGTATCGCAGATGCTTGGAGTTATTGTGGGGAGGTGGGTTGGTGGCTTGTTGGGATACCAGCCTTTCTACCAAAAGTACTCCGCAGACTGGGGACTTGCATGTCGGCAGATGAAGTTGTCCTTCTTTCAGAGGCGATTCGCCGAGACACACTAGATACGTGTAAGTATTCCTTAAGTGCACGGATACAGTAAGCGAAGGCAGTCAGGAAAGTTGTTGTCAGTAGTGCATTCATCAGCAGACGGAATTCACTACATCAAACTGAAATACTGTAAACCAACCGAGAGGATGGCACACATACTTTCCGCAAATTTTGCCATGCATGGACTATGGAATAACGCTCTCGTAAACTTGGGATTTATGACCTTTGTTACATTTTCGATGGTGTATTTCATCGTGAACCGCAGAATGGTGTCAATCAGCCCAGGCATAAAAGCCCCATACGCGATAAACTATTTGAGATTTGCACCTCACTCATTGGCGAACTGCTTGTACGTATTCTACGCAGGTCTTCTTATTGAAGCTGGTTATCAAAAGCCAACGCGAGGACCTTCTCAAGTTTGATGTATAGAAATTAAATTCTTCTCTAGTTCAAAACTTCAGCATACATGCTCGCCCGCAGTGACGTAAACATGATCGTACTTCCTGCCTCTGCCGTTACAGAGCTATCATCTTTACCGAATCAGATTGCAAATGGACTTCTCGCATTGGAGCGCGACATGCTTGGTAAATGGACTGGCCTGCATATGGACGTTGAAAGTAGACTACATCACAAAGTTGTGCAGCGAAAAGTCACACCAAATCTGGAGATCTTAACTCCAACCGTGGAAGAAGAGGTCAGGAATAGCTTTCTTGATTATCTTCCACAGAACTGCGAGAATGATTGGGTTGAAATCGAGCCATACTACGTTTTGTTGAAGGTTACTGCAAGGATTTCGGGTAGGGTATTGATAGGATTTCCCATTTGTCGCGATGAGCGATGGCTGGACTTCGCTATGATTTTCACACAAGAAGGTAGGGAAACTATCCAGTGTTCGGTGGTGTGCTGAAGTTAAGATTGCTAAATATTTTCAGTATTCGGAAGTCTCATTATAATGCGGTGGTTTCCTCCTTGGTTATATTCTACACTTGCCTTCTTTTTGCCATCTGTCCGGCGGGCCAAAGATTACATCCGCCAAGGACACGAAATTTTGGAGCCCGCATTCAAAAAACGCCTTGGAGAGATAGACGATAAAAAAGACAAATCAGAAACAATTGGTGACGGGTTTTCTTGGTTTGCGGAGCTAGCCCAGGGAGAAGACCGCTATCCTGCAAAACTCACTCACTTTGAAATCCTCCTCGCGCTTGCATCTATACAGTAGGTTATATCTGAAATACAACTTTCTCTTTCTGAAAGTCTGAAGAGTAAAATCACTTAGTCTCATATTTACTCTTTATCCCCCTTCGAAACAATTTTAGAGATGGCAATACTGACTTCAGCACCTTCCGCAGTACGACCTTGCTTCGTGAGGTTAATTTTCTATACGATATGATAGCTCGTCCACTGCTTGTTGACGAGCTTCGTAAGGAAATAGCTGACTCTAGCGAATTTGGGTGGAATGCAACATCATATGCACAATTGGGCAAGCTTGACAGTGCATTAAGAGAAAGCCAAAGAACAAGCCCACCAACTTTGATCGGACTTCGACATATTATGAAACAGTCTTATACGATGTCTGACTCTACATTTCTTCACAAAGGCTCCTATGTTTGTGTACCCGCCTACTCAATCGAAAACAACCCTGCAAACACACAAAATCCACACGTCTTTGATGGACTTCGAGACTATAAGAAGCGAGCTACCCATGTTAAGCCAAAGTCTCAGCATCTCTATACTACGCCTGAACCCTCGATGTCGGGATTTAGTTATGGGAAATCAGCTTGCCTAGGTCGCTTCTTCGCAGTGCTCATTCTGAAGACCATTTTCGTTAAGCCCCTGATAGAATACGATTTAAGGTTTACATCAGGAGCAACCGAGAAACCTGAAAATTGCCATGCCCATGAATTTATTTTCCCGCATCCGGCTACCAAAATTCTAATCAAGAAGAGGGCAAAATCTACGGCGCCATTTTGAATACAGCGTGTAACGGATCGGAACCCAGGACCGTCGCGGAAGGCTTCAAGAAGGCGGAGTGGTTGGCGAGATAAAAGAAGTGCTACCGTGCAGGGGAATATTGATAATCCAAGCTGGCATTATTGAGATTCTGGGACCATTCGATTCATTATATTCTTACACTTCAGTACGAAACTTGGAGTACTGTACATAGATGGCGCGTTCTTTGTCCTGGTTGTTGGATGACATTTTTATGCATATGGTGTTAGACAACTGTCTAAAGTGTAGAGCGGATTCGCTTGTACATAGTAAAGAGTCTTCTAGCCTGCAAAGGCCTAAGTGGGCGTATGGATCCGCTACAACATACATTTTCATGTGACTCCGTCGTGCGCTTGAGTCTTCTGGCTACCTAAGGGGTCTATTTTATACCAGACTAGAACTTAGCACAGTGACAACAGCCAACTATGCGTTTAACATTTCAAGTAAGGCTTCAATAATCTAGGGTGTCCACCAAAGGCTTTTTCTACAAAAGATCAAGTTTAGAATAACCAACGGGAGATCTATGATTTTCTCACTAGGTCATAATGGCTTGGCTAATTCAAGCCGTGATATTAATATGAAACTAGGCTAGATCTTCGATGCTGTACCATTCTCAATAAATACCTGTCGACAAGTCTTCCGCATGGGTTTCATCGATACAGAGGGCAAGAGCAACAGACATTACTTGAAAGGATGTCTCACCGCTCTCTGAATCCCTCATCATTCCACGATCCGGCCATCCTTATCCCATACTCACAATTCCAAATTCGTTTCAACTAATTACTCGTAGCCTCAAGAATCATCCTACTTTCATGAAAGCCTTAGATACCGATTTATTAAAACATGCACAAGAACAAAAAACTAAACGGCTGTAACTTAAGCCCCGCACCCTCTACAGAAAATAAATCCCCAAAAGGAAATTGTCTCACTTTAAAACATTTTCAGATGGACACATCGGTAGCACGTGCCCAGTTTCTAGGTTGTTTGCTTGTGTAAGAGCCGACTCTGTGGAGAATGAAGATCTACCTAGGTAGAAGAGCTTATATAAGAATGCTACGTTATGTAAATAAGACACTCGATCAATAATCTACACACCTCTCTGAAGATAACGGTATACCAGAAAGACTCGTATGCTTCAAATGTTTCTAGTAACGGCTAAGGATAATCAACATGGATTTCTGCGTTACAGTAAACAATCATCCCCTAACAAAACTATTCACTAAGAAGACTATCCACCCACCAACTACAAAAGAACTTCTGCCACCTATGAGAATGGCTCTTAACTTAACAAAGACGGTTCGATTGATACCAACTATATGCTCTTCCTCTTCCACTATGTTCGAGGCCCTCAAAATTCCTCCACCACTTCAAAACCTGACTCAACTCCAAGCTGGTTCTCATCAATCAATGCCCAAGGACGAGTGAGTGTATTATTTTCTTCATCCGAGCTTTATCCATTCGATTGATATTTTACCTTGGAAAATAAACTTATTGTCGATTTCTAAAAAGTCCCATCCCTCCCCACGCTTTGGCCCATTATCTTCTAGACTCCGTGCCATATTGAAGAACTGTCATTGTTGACAAGACAGCTCACCTCCCCATCTCTGCAAAGTTTGCTCGGCCATATCCAAGAGCGTTTTGTGAGTGATCGTTGATCTTGCGAAAAGTCTTGCTACGCTATTGTCGCGGATGATCTGAGCTCCATTGTTACCTGTAGGGTTGTTTTTTTATAGACCTACCACCCCCCTCCCCCTTCCCCACTTTTCCTTCGCTCGATGGTACGGTACATCCCAAGTTCCAACACTTGGAAAAGAAGGATCCTTGGGACAGCGCATGAGTACAGTAACTAATCCCCAAAACTCCCAACAAGGAATTGTATCGGTATGTGCCTCACTACTGTATCAAATTTATACATTTTGGCTCAAAAGCATATCGATAAGAATTACTACTTTATGTCCTCTTTCAGAAACATATATTGTCATCAAACCTCTAGTACAAAGTTTGCGGGAGGTATAGACAGATACAGGAACATGCCATTGGAATTTGGAAGCACTCTATTACTCGCAGTCCAAAACACGTTATAACCCACTTCCACGCGGAACCACCTCTCTCTAACTTATTTGAGCCAAACTCTAGGTATTCATACTCTATTTGGTTACCCTATAATTATTTCGGTCAACTATTATATAGAAAGGAATAACTTAAACCTCTAACTAACTATTATATTAAAATTAGTAATATTTTAACCAAACTTTTTTCGATTACGTACAACATAAAAGGGACAACATTTTGGTCATTATTAATAGTATTTAAAATAAACACTAACCAGTCTTCTATTATAATACCAAGTACTAGCAGAGAAAGTTCTATTAGGGTGTAACATAATCTTCTTTCTATAGTCTAAGTTTTCGTGATCTACCTAGATACTCTTTATATTATCGTCGTTAAAAGATTTCATACCTTTACTACGCGTACCTTAATACCCTGTAGTTATCGTATATTATATATGTTGTGTACTAGGTGATATAAGAATAAGATGGCGAACCTCACCCCAAATCCATACAGAGCTCTTGCTCGCGTTAGTGGTACTGCGTAAGTCGTAGTATTTAGTAGATAATTCTTAGCTTTTCGCAACTGAATCCAGAAATCCACCAGCTCCCGATAAACACCGCACCTATTATGCATATTCATTTGAACTTTCACCTCTCGATGAATCATTTACTTTCGAATATATATCTACCACCGATACCCCTGGAAAGTTGAGCGTAAAACTTTTATTCACAAGTGTGTTTATAATCACAAATATAGTTTCAACTTTCGTTACCTCTCGATCTACCCGTAGGTTAGCCACATCCAAGAGTTTCAAAGACGCTTGTGAAATGACTCTTGTATTCGAGGCCTCGTCGATAATAACCTATATCTACCTTGAAGCTGAAAACAGCGGGCAATGCGCTATTTATTTCCGTCGTGAAGTTGAAGAATCCCTCCCACCCTTTCTTTGAATTCTTTCACCCTTCCTTATACCCTCTAAACTAACCCTATAAGAACCCCATCACAACCCTCAAACCATACCCTTCACTTGCAGTAACAGCACAAAGCCACAAATCTATAGACATATCTACCACCGACCTCCAACCCAAAGATATATATCTTTGGTAATTTAGTAGTACTCACCATATGGGTAGACAACACTCTGGCAGAAAGTAATACTCATAGCAACGAAATGTGTTACATAGAATGCCGAAGCTTAGCTCTACGAGTTTTCAATAACACTTCGCCCCTTCAACTTTCTAAGTATCATCTTAAGACAGCGAAGCCAAAGGAAATGACGGGGAGCCGAGACACCACACTCACCTAGTAAACAATACAATAAGCATTCTACGTTGATGAGGGTGCTAATACGAGAGAAAGGTACGAAGTACTACATGCAGTGTTGGACGGGTTCTACTAACACTTACCCCTAAAAACGCGAAAAATCAAGAGTCCTTGCAGATTAAGGCAGATTAAGTTAGATCCGACGACAAGGCTCAGCAAAATATAATCATACCCAACCCTCTATCCATCCGAACCTCCTCCTTCCGCCTACTCTCTTACCACCGAATACCCACCCACCACCGATTTTCACCCTACGTTCGACGAATTCTCCTTTCAGTGAAGACACAAGGTATTAACCAAGCTTTGTCACTTTAACGCAGATAAAAAACATGGTACCAAGCATCCAGCTTTAGCTAGCAAGCATATATCATATCGACCTCCTCTCCATCGTTCTTCGTAGGATTACGGTATCTTGATTGAGGTTCTCCATGTCGCGCAGATCTCCAACATAGTAGAAGAACTCCATGTCCTTATAGAAAGGGATCTTGGATGGTCTGTATATAGTCCTGGTACTAGCGTGTGAGAAAGATTCAAAGTCCTTTGCAATAATCACGCGGTGCTATCTGCTTTTCTTCTCTTCTCCCACAAATTACAAGATTGAATCTGACGACAAATCCGCTCCATGTACAATGTTAAGATAAACATCTATATTAATTCGCTAAAACTAAAAGTTTCTTCTTTTCCCTGCATATACATAACACAGTAGCCCAAGATCCCTTAGCCCCTCAAAGACCCTCTACAACCAAACTACCACAAACATCCTACCCTCCATACCATCGCACTCCACATGCAATCCTCCCAGTAATTATACCGCACTTCACCACGGCTCAAAAAACCCATTTAAAACCTACCCATACATCCTATCTAACACTCTATACCCCTACCTTCACCACCACCACCATGGCAGAGGAGACTAACCAAACACCTCGCCTCACCCTCCCGCTGTTACCATTAAACCCCTATTCTCATACAACCCAAAAAGCTATTTCCAACCCTGTACATCCACAAGGATACCCCGTCGGCATGCGACTTCGTCCGCAGCTTTATCACCACTACCCCTAAAGAGCCGCACGCAATATGTCAAGCCTTAAGCTAGAAGAATTTATACCTGATGAACGCCTATCGGAAGAAGACCAGAACAGTATTTTGAGTACTAGCAAACACGAGATTATTTTATACTATTGTACTTATTCTATTCAACTTATGCTGGCTGTTCGGTCTTCATCACTTTATATTAATCCATCCGAACGTTCTCCTCTCGCTTACTCTTACCACCGAACATATATCCACCACCGATTTCCCTCAAAAGTTTAAACCAAAACAACCTCCTTTAAGAACAAACCGCACCAAAGTCCTAGTATAAAGAAGGAGCAACAATCCAGCACACTCGGTCATAGTCATCATCTATTCCCTCTTTGCCTTTGATGCCTGTGCTGTCTCATCCATCCAATTGAAACGGGTAACACTGCAGCATGCTTGATGGTACTGGTTATCTGGTAAACTCTTCACAACTTACAAGTAATCTATCAATAACCACTTAGATCGTACTGACTCCCACCAACACAAACATCATATCGTCCGCCCAGCAGCTCATGTTCACCCATGTTAACCCACTCCTCAAACGGGAACTTTCCAACCACCTTCCCCGATCTCCCCGTCCTTACTTACAACCAATTCAACAACCATACACTCCTTCTCCTAAATATCCCCCATCCCCCATCAACCATCTCAATATACTCTCATAGAACCAAAACCCCTATATCAAGACTCTAGGGAACCAGATCGCCGTACTACTAACAATCAAAAGTCTTCCCATATCATATCATAGTAATACATCCCACGAATCCACAATAGCAAACTATAATATATACCTGACAGCCACTTTCCAAGACCCAGAGGAAGGGTGTGTAGACTGTAAGTAGTCCCCCTTCATGTGTTGAGTATTTTATCGATTGCGGATTTTCTGGGGTCTGATATTGTACTATACTATATAACTATTAGATTTGAAGATTTCCACCTTCCCAGAAGCCTTGGTATCCACATACTGTACCTTACTGGTCCTCTCTTGATCTCTACGTTTTATGACTTACAGTATAAGAACTAGAACCCACATACCACAAAGAACTCACATACAACAAGAAGGCATTCCATGTTCCCTCATACCTTAATCCTAAAAAGAAAAGGGGTATAATATAACATAATATCTACAAGCAACTTTCTAAAAAAGTCAAAGAAAAAAAATAATAGGGACTCTAACCCGACAAAAGTACTTCAAACCTCCCCTCGCTTTTGAGAAAAACAAAGAAGCGGAACATGATTTGAACATTACTATAACCCATCCCTTCACCACCCATCCAAGAACCAAGATCCACACATCAGATCTCTTCAACCCAAAAAGAATCCCCCCCACAAATGACAAAAAGATCCATCCAAGGAACCTAGGAATCCACGACACACACCAAGTTCCCAGCAGGACTATACTGTACTACTACACACATCTGTGCTGGGCTGGGCTAAACTAATCAATCAACCTCCTCCTCAACAACCAGGAAGCCATCCTGTACCGTGTCATTCACGCCCACCGCCAACCCCTCAACCCCTTTCTCAACACCATCCATCATACCATCCGCCCTCTCCTTCCCCTTAGTGCCCATCTTAGTAGCACGTTTCTTCTTCCTCGTCGCTCCAACCTCGCCGCCCAACGGCGCCTCTCGAATCCACCTCACAATAGCCTGCGCCCTTTCCGTACTAATAGGATACTCCTTCCCCTCATCCTGCGCCCAGCGCTTGGGCATCTCGCGACCCTCCGCTTTACGTGCCTCCTCCTCCTGTCTGCGTTGTCTTGCGGCGACCGCAGCTTGGAAGGAAGCTTCATCGTGGACTCGATCATCCTCCAAGGCTTCCATGATAGCTTGTTGCTTGAGCCTCTCTTTCTTGTCGGCGAGGGTCTCTTTCTGTGCGTTTGCGCCGCTGGTTCCGTGGCCGGGGAGGCGAGCGGGGGCACAGAGGGATTCCCACGAGGCGGAGAGGGGGATGGTACTTGATGAGCGGCGGAGGACTTCTATCCAATCGGCTCGGCTTGGGGAACGGGCAGCTTGGAAGATGGGATAGCCATCGCAGACTCGGGCAAGGCGAGAGACCATGTAAGCGTGACGTTGGAGTTCACGGGTTGAGGTTTGGACTAGACAGTGGCAGAGAAGGAGGGAATGAAGGGCGTCTGTTAAAAGTGGGTGATAGGTTAGTGCTTCGTGGCAATCCGTTTGGGCGAGAATGGCTTTGGCGGCTTCATTTTGTGGGGTCAAGAGTTGTTGCTTGGTTCTTAAAGCAGTTCCTGTTTCTGGGTAAGGAGGTAGATCAGCGGGAGGGGTGGCCGAGAAGAGCGTGGACATTTGGTGAACCACAGGAGGTGGAAGCGAGGGTAGATCCGCACGAGAAGCGCTACCTTGAGGTCGGGAGCGATGATTTCCTTTATGGGGTACTAGAGCATCCGAAAGTTGACCATTGCTTAGAGAAGCATTACTTTCAAGGTCAAGACTCTTATTGCTAGTATGAGATCTTGGGGTCTTGAAACCATTTGCCGCTTGGTTGACTTTGCGTACGAAATCCTCGGCTATTTCAGCGGGGAGACCTGGAGTGTAGTCAAAATGGGACAAATAGCCAAGATAATCTCGTAGAGCTCTCTTTGCATTGGTCTTAACAATCTTTCTTGCTTCAAGACGTCTTCTCAAAGTTTCTTTCTCTGCGGGGGTCAGCTCTGGTGGTTCGGTATTTGTTCCATTAGTGTTAGGATCAGCATTTTCCTTTTTGCCATTAACTCCATTTGTTGCGCTTTTTGGCGGCAAGGCAGCATTGACATGTTGACAAGCAATAGTCAAATAAACACCAGCTCTATGGAAAAGCAACTGAGTTTCAAGACTACTAGGGTGGTCTTCTTCATCCAGCTTAATTTCTTCCTTCCACCTACTATTCCGTTGAGCTTCTTCTCTCGCCTCGCTTGCCAATTGAAGTTGCTGCCGTCCAGCTTTATGTTGATTTTGAAAGTACCGACACACCTGTAACGCAGCGGTTAAATCCTGCGCGGCTCCAAAATAGTCCTCCTTGAATATCTTAGTAACAGCTCTCGTCCTCAAAATCTCCCCTTCATTAGGTCTTTCCGCAATGACTTCATCCAGCGGCTCAAGACTCGTACATTCCGCCAGGTGCCTGGAAGGAATCTTTTCATGGAAGAAGTGAACATATTTGGCATCCGCATCTAGTGGGTTGCGCTGTAATACAAGACGAGCCACGTCCTCAAGCGTGGACGCAGATTGCATCGTCGCAACACTACATGCAATCTCATCTAGATGATATGCCTTGGATAACTTCTGCGTTGCCTGTTCGCGCATTCGATGTTTCCGCTCCCTACTCAATTTCGCATTTCCCCCTCCCCCACCAAGCCCTAGACCCAGTGCTGCTCCTCCATTTCCTAGTAATCCATTGCCGGCATTGAGTGAGTTTGTCAGGGCGGAGGAAGTGACACCGCTTGCGGCGCGTACTGCGAGATTGGTAGCATCGTCGACGAGCTTTCGGATCTTGAGAAGGTCGAAGAAGACGGCGGGGTCAATTGGTCGCGGACGAGGGAGGTTGTAGTTGTTGTTTGCGAGGCTTTCTAGCACTTCGGGAGGCAATTGTAGCCATGGGCCATGGAATGAGGAAATATACCGCCAATGTCTGGTGAATTGTCAGTTTGTAAATTATATCCAAAGTGCATCCTCAGGTATATTTCGACTCATGCGCCAGCTCCAGCTCCAGCTCCCACAGCACCAGCAGCAGCACCAAAAGGGAGACATGAAAAGGACAATGCTAGAGTCCAGACACATACTTGTTGCGACAAATAATCAATGCAGAAGTCGAAGGTTGCGGTGGTTTCGTCTTCGCACTCTTCTCCTTCGCTTTCGAGTTTGAAGTCGAAGCTGATGATGCCGGACTCGAGGGAAGGGGGGAGGGCATAGGCGTACTGTCGCCCGAGCCTTCCGCAACGTTCTGCGTCGTGTTCTTCTTCTTCGCCATGATTTTGCTGCAAAGGGATGCGATGGAGAGGAGCTACGCGAATATGACAAATGCAAGCAAATTATATTCAGCAGCAGTTTGCTCTCATTCAGGGTACATACCTATTCACTGTCTGCCCCGAAACATCTTTTCGTGGAGCTAATCACTTTTTTGACTAAAGCGGCGAAGCATTCTCTCCACTGCGGTAGCAAGAGCTGGACGAATGCGAACAATGAAAATAGCTGTACATGATAGTATCAAGCATTCCAATCTTCTACATTAATTGAAGAAGTTGAGGTATGTATTTAAGAACGTATAATGTGTTCATATTATTATTCAGATTATCCTAAACAATCAAAGCATTAAATTCACAAACACAGGAAGAGACAATCATCGCCGCCTTTACTAGCTAGGTATGACAATTGACATCGATCTCGTAACAGTGAAATCGAGGCTCACTTCAAAGACAAAACTGGGTGTACATCATAATTATAATTATTATCTCATCACGCCCACCAAAAGAATTCCGTTCCTCAGAACATTCTAGAGTAGGAGGTTATGAGCCTTGAAGACGAGGGATATCAAAACGCCCAATGCAATAACGCTCAATTTCACCATGCTAAACCTGAAGCCATAGCCGTCCAATGATCTTTATCATATATCACCACACCACCTCGCTCCCAACAGAATAAAGTCTACGAACTAAGCGCCAAACATGCATCAACCGCGAGCCCAACCCTAGAACATGTCAGTCTGACAATCATAACAAATTCGACATGATCAATTCTCACCTTCCCTCTTTCTGGGTCACTACATCACTGATGATATCCCTGTCCAGATCAGGAAACATTCCAGCTAGGGTTTCTACCACGTTGCTATGCTCTGCTTGCTGAATTCGGTGGGCTTCGGCTGCCTCTGCGCTTGCTTGCCTCGCTGCGGCATCTTCGGCTGTCATTCGAGCATGCGCTCTTTTCTCACGAGGCTGGCGTTGAGTTTGAACTTGGCCTGGGTCTGGACTCATACGAAGTGTGCTCCCAGGCTGAGGAGTTCCTGCTGGGCCACTTTGAGATGAGCCAACTTCTTCAGAGAAGATCCGCCCAATGGATGTCAAAGGTCGTTGTATGGTCCTTAATAACCCGGTCATTGCAGCTTTCTCGTCGTCTCCACTGTATTCATTTGAAGATGTTGATCTTCGGGGTGCGGATGACTCTCCTTCCATCGAATGGCGTGGTGTAACTTCTGGTCGGCTAAGGGCGGATTTTTCGGGCACCTGCGTCCGTGGCGGAGGTTCAGGGACTTCAGGGACTTCAGGGACTTCAGCAGCTTGATGTTTTTCGGCAATCGCAAAAACAGCTGCTTCAACATTCTTTTCAAAGTCCTCATCAGAGATTGTTAATGTTGTTCGATCCAGATTCTCAATGAATTGGACAGCTCCCATCTAAAAAAAATTAGCCAATCTCTTAAGTTGACTCAAAATGTGACTCACCAAAGAGGATAAATAATATCCTGCTTCCCCACCCAGCTTTTCTTGATTCCTAAACCTTAGAATGTACTGGACATTTGATACAAGATGATCTGGGTTTGCTTGTAAAACCACATAAATGAGTAACGGCATGAAAGAATCTGCCGACGAATCGGATTTTGCATGTTTCAGAAGGCCTTGTACGTTAGCTTTCCCTTCTTACAAAACGTCCTAGGATTCCGATCTTACCGAAGATGACTTTGCAGCAATTGAGGACGCAAATTATTTTATCCCTGGGTGCTCTATAGGTCTTGATTTTCAAGAGCTCTGCACAGAATTAGCGATGTCAAGCATTAGGTAGGAAATTCCCTAACCTTGCTGGGCAAGAATCAAAAATCGCTTGCCGCTATCCCCAACAGGTTGTATGTCTAAATGCTCCTCCTTTATCCACCCATAAATGGATACCTTTTGAGCAAGAATATCATCCCGCTCAACATCTTCTTGATGTTGACCACGTCTCCCAGGCCCCATTGGACGTTCCGCGCCTCTCCTCCTCGGCTTTCCGCCTGGAATTGGTTGGGGTGGAGGAATGGCAGGAGAAAATGTCTGGGTGTATAATCTGTTCATTACCAATTTCTCCATGCCTTCTCGAGCATTGTCAAACTCAGCATCGGAAACTTCACGCCATACATCACACTGAGCCATCTTGTTGGTGATGAAAGCAAGGAAATCGCCTATTATTTTGACTTGTTCATGAACCATCCATTGTTTTTTACCAAATTCTTGTAGGAAAGATCGGAGGAACTTAGCTACTGGATCAGCAGTTCTATGCCTCAACTGTTCTAGGAAACGGTGAAAGTCAAAGGGAAGATCCGGCTCAGGCTCTGGGGGAGGGGGTCGATGTATAGGCGGAGAAATGGGAGTTTCATTGTTTTGATGTCGATCATCACCGCTTCTCTGCTTTCCTAAACTGCGAATAGATCCTGGTTTTGGTGGTACTTCAGGACCAATATCTGTTGGGTCCCATGATGGATCCGTGGAGCGAGCTGGGGATGAAATTCTGAGGTCCTTCAAACTTTGGGCAGCGCTAGAGGCCAGCGGTTCAAGGCTTGATTTCCTAGGCGGGTGTTGTATTGGACTCCCAAGCAATGGCCCAGCTACCTCTAAACGTGGAGACATGACCTCTTCATGATCCGGCCCTTGACCTTCCTCACTAAATTGCTCCATTATTGTTTGTATTTCAGACCTGGACAAAGGATCTCGCTCATCCTCACTGACTGTTATTTTCTCGTCAAAGCCTGCATCTGATCGGGTAGGAGATCTCTCCGGGGCATCAAGATTTTGGGAATACTGAGGTATTGATGCACCACTGGAAGTTGACCTTGAGGGTGGCTGAGAGGGCGCTGGGGTTTTAGGTGTAGGATCGAGATACAGTTTGGGCTTCGGGGAAAGGCTATGACTCCAAGATTCGGAAGCTGGCCGTTCTTTTGAAGATATTGGTGGTTTAAGAGTAGCGGTTGAACACTCCATGGGGTCGTGTGCAGCAGCGGGAAAATCTTCCCTTACTGGTGTAGAAACAGGTCCTTCCGAATTTTCCCTTTGCACATCCAACTTGCCCTCTGAGGTTTCTGTAGTATTGGACTTCAGGTCCGAGACTACTTCCGCACTGTTCTTCTCCAACACTCCCTCTGGTAGCTTTGTGGTTGGCGTGTCATTATTTTCGTAAGTTGTGTTATCCCCACCGGTCAATGACAGGGGAGCCTCTGCAGATAAGCCATTTCCTTTCACATCGGCCTCTGATCGCAGCTCTTTCTGGAGCTCATCTGGATGAGTTGTGGCTTCGGGCTGTGATCTGGGGGGCGACATCCATCCGCCAGTGCCTCGCGAAGGCAGATGCTGGAGGTTTCGGGCTGTTGGCGGGGTATTTTTGTGTCCACGAGTTTGGATGCGCTGGGGAGTCGGAGTCGTAACCGTAATCGTACGGAGTGTAGCAAGAGAAGCGAGTGCGGGTGGGTTTGTGTATGTGTAGATGCGGTTGAAGCAAAATCGGAAAACTTGTTCCTGCTATGTGGGTAGGAGAGAGAAAGTCGGAGGGTTGGGGTTGTTGTTTTGCCTCCAAAATGACTTGCGATCTGGGGATGAGGATGGGGATGGATCCTGGCCTGGCCTTGTCCTGTGCTGAGCTTCGAAGCGAGGTTGCAGGTGGACGTCGATCTTCCATTTCCCGAGTCGGCTGCTCCTTCTTCACGCAACCTACTCCTTGCTAGAATCAAGCCCACCACAACACCAAAGGAGATACTCTTTACTCTGTAGAAGAGTCTAAGGGGAAGCTAGTTTCTACCGCTCTGCTCGTCTCGAGTGAAGGGCACAAGTGTTTTCCACCCAGAGTGAAGCGTGTGCGCGAAAGCAGCGAGATGTGCGGCATCCACGCATCCATATCACGAACGGCCTATCAAGCACCTAGCCATGAGCTGAGGCAGTTACTCTCCAATAGAGGCCCCGATCACTTGGGAGAGATACAAGCCAAAATCGACACGGGCAATGAAACATCCTGTTGGATTTCATGCACCTCCACTGTTCTTGCGCTCCGGGGGGGTCAGGTGAAGAAGCAACCCTTTCAAGACAGCTCAAGTGGCTGCTCGTTGTGTTGGAACGGCGAGGCCTGGAAGATTGATTCCACTCCCGTTGTAGGGAATGATGGCCAATTAGTTTTCGATTTGCTTCGGGAGGCAAGCGCTTCAAACTTGACTGCTGCTGAGTCCACAGCCGCGATTCTTGGGCTTTTACGAAGCATCTCAGGGCCCTGTGCTTTCGTATATGTGGATGCCAACCATGGCCTGATATATTTTGGCCGCGATTGTTTGGGACGGAGGTCCCTGCTTTATCATACTAATGAATCGTCGTCGACTATTGAACTTTCCAGTTGCAGCGATCCTTCAAACCCAAATTGGACGGAAGTTGAGGCTGATGGTATATACCAGTTGTCCCTCAGTTCTGCTTTATTGATGACCGAGAACCGCACTGATGAGATCGTCCTGTCCAATCCAGTGGTATCCTGTCAAAGACACGCATGGGATACGCCTTCATCTGTATGTTACCCCAGCCACCAGAGGCTCGCTTGAGTTCCAAATATATATTGTTTACATTTTGTTCACCGACTAATGTTTTCATAGCCATCATCACTGGGCGTTTTTAACCGAGCCATACCTTCTCAAGTACAACCGCTGACTTGTCAAAGCTCCTCGGTGCAGTCTCTTCGTAAACAGCTCCATGAGTCCCTGAAGTTGAGAGTTCTCAACGTGGCGGTACCGCCTGGTCAAGATGAGAATCACGATGTTCGCATTGCTGTGTTGTTTTCCGGCGGGCTTGATTGCACAGTACTAGCCCGTATGGTTCATGACTTACTTCCATCTGGCCAGGAGATTGATTTACTCAATGTCGCTTTTGAGAATCCAAGGTCAATAAATGCTGCAAAGAATGCTGCGAATCAAAGAAAGCTCAAGAATCAAACTGCTCACTCCAAATCAGAAGACCAAGATTTGGATAACCAACTAGACGCTCTAATTAATTTATCCCATTACGAAGTATGTCCGGATAGAGCTACGGGAAGGAAAGCTTTCCATGAATTACAAAATGTATGTCCGGGGCGAATATGGAGGTTCGTTGCAGTATGTATCCCATGTATCATGATGACGAATGATTTACTAATCATGTTTAGGTTGATGTGCCATATTCGGAAACAGTCTCTCATCGAGCAAAGGTTGTCAGTCTTATCGACCCTCACAACACCGAGATGGACCTTTCAATTGCCTATGCTCTTTTTTTCGCTTCAAGGGGGGTTGGTATGGCAACCACGGGGCAGGACCAAAGTTCAAAATTATACTCAACTCCAGCTCGTATTCTTCTTTCTGGCCTCGGAGCGGATGAAATATTCGGTGGGTACACCCGACATTCTACAGCTTTCAGACGAAATGGGTATCCTGCTCTTATTGATGAGCTAGAGCTGGATGTCAACCGACTTGGAAAACGAAATCTGGGCCGTGACGACCGAGTCATATCACAATGGGGTCGTGAAGCACGATTTCCGTTTCTCGACGAATCACTGGTCAAGTGGGCAGTTGAGTGTCCGGTCTGGGAGAAATGCGGTTTCCAAGAACATCCTCCTGCAACCCCGGATTTTCCAGAAGTTGATCCCGAGAAGAAAGTACTCCGATTGCTAGCATATGATCTAGGAATGCACTCCGTTGCAGTAGAGAAAAAACGAGCTGTAAGTTTATTCCTTCATTTTTCCAAAGCTGGACTAATATAGTAGATACAATTCGGCGCCAGAACCGCGAAGATGGAAGTTGGGAGGACAAGAGCAAAGGGGACACAGGTTATATCTTGAGTTTTTGTATAGTCATTAGACTATTCTGGCAGTGATGATTATCAGATACTACTGAATCGTTTCCACGTACCAACGGGAGTTTCACAAGACCTCTTTTATGTGTTTCTGCTACCACAGAAACCTCTAAGTTGTTGAGTGCCGTTGGATCATACTTGGTTCTTTTATGAAGTAGTAAAGGCAAGTCTGAGCCAGGTCAAACGAGTTGCCTATTTGGTCTCTTGTTTAAAGTATAGCTGAGTGCTATCTAGACATTCTACTCGTTAACCCAGACGTACCTTAGAGCATATGAGGATATAAAGTAGATTAGTAAATATTCAATAACAAGTTTTGAATTGGTGTCGAGTTGATATCTTGATTTTGGCTAGTATTTCGTGGTTATTCTTAGATTTTACTCTGTGACCTTCATCCCTTCTGGCTATGTCAACTACTTTTGACTTTTTCTGTCGTGAAAGACAAGCAAAATAAAGGTTATTATTTCCTCTACTCCACCTGTGTTATTAATTTGTCTAGATCAAATGAATTAATAGGATCAGGTACATAATCATCGCATATCATTTTTATCCCACTTCACTATGTCTTGCGAAAACACCGCTGTTAACGGAATAATAAAACCAAAGCAATGTACCTATCTCAAAGATACAAACCCCTGTGTGTAGTTGTATAATTCCGGTGGCATATATATTAATAGAAAATAAAAATAGAAGCCAGCGCCACTTTTCCATGATCGACGCCCAGCCAAAGCATGGGAACCACAGGCTGAAAGTCACCTAAATGAAACGGTCGCATGGGGATTGAGCCGCCACACAACATCCATCCAACACCCAAAACTACCTCGACTACTTCTCCTCGACATCGAAACTCGACATACGAAGCGAATCGTTGGATATTGAAGCGTGTAGGAAGTTTGACGGAAGGAAAGCCTGACGTGACGCTGGCTGTGCCCACTCGTGCTCGCTGCGCCCGCGGATACGGGGCGACGGAAGTTCTCGACAAACGTCATACTCCCATCCAACCTCCACTCGGACCTAAAGTTCCCATCACCAACCCTACCTGCCTTGCCCCCATTCCTTTTTCCGCCGACCCGTCAAGATGGTTCTCGAAATTCCTCGGAGACGGTTCATGCGATCCATCAACAGCAAGTACATTTATGGCAGAGTTGTGAGTGTCCCTCTCGAAGCAAGCGGGTGTCCGTTGGGTGGATGGTGTCACTTTGCGACGATCGACTTTGTGGTCCCTGATTTGGGGTTTTTGATTCCGGAGTTTGGTTGCTGATTTGCGGTTGGTGGATAGCCTTTAGTACATCTTCTTGCTTTCCTTTTAGAGTTGACCATGGTTGCGAGATTGATTGCGAAGTTCAACGGCTATTATGCTGATAGACCTGGTTTGTTCCCATCTCGTCTTTGATAAGCATTTTCTAACGTGTTACCAGTTCTCACGATGATGATAACCAACGCGGTGCTGGGAGGAATCGCAGATACCGTAGCTCAATCTATAACAGCCATCCGCTTGGCTGCTTTGCGCAAACCCGGTGGAATCACCAAGGACGATGCGATGGCAATCGAGATCCACGAGTTGGACCGGAAGAATCCTTTCCATGAGCGGGATCTGATTCCCGATTCGAAAGCTGCGATTCTACCTCCACCATTTGACTTTGAACGATTGACGAGGTTCATGGCGTATGGGTTTTTGATGGCGCCGGTGCAGTTCAAGTGGTTCCAGTTTCTGTCGAGGGCGTTTCCTATTACGAAGACGAGTAGTCTTGGGCCGGCGATGAAGATGGTGGCTTTTGATCAGTTGATCTTTGCGCCTGTTGGTTAGTACATTTCTTATTGGTGTTTGGGGTGGGAACTAATTTGTGTAGGGATTGCTACGTTCTTTACGGTTATGACGGTTGCAGAAGGTGGTGGACGACGAGCTGTGTCGAGTAAGCTTCGTGAGATGTACTTGCCAACCCTCAAGGCCAATTTTATGGTTTGGCCTCTGGTTCAAATCATCAACTTCCGAATCATGCCAATTCAATTCCAATTGGTAAGTTGTCTTCATTGTCCTTGACAACGATGACATCTAATTAACAGTAGCCATTCGTGTCAACCATTGGTATCGCCTGGACCGCCTACTTGTCGCTTTCCAACGCAGCTGAAGAAGGCGAAGCTCGGTCAGCTCCCCAATCGCCTAACATCCGCTTGTTGTAATTCTTTTTAGGTCAAGGCATGGACGGGATTAGATAAGAGAAAGACAGACAGCGATGGACCAATGAATTCTTTTTTGGAATGAATGGTATAGGATTCAGCATTTGGGAAATCAGGCGTTAGATGCATTTGACTTCGGGAATATTACACAATTCCTGCTACAGTATACAGATATGGACGTTTTCTTCATGGGCATTTTCATTGCGCATGTATATCTCCTATTGAAATTGACTAGGGATGGCGTTTGGGTTTGGGTCCCCTCGATGATGGTTCTTTTTTCTTTTTTTGGTTTTGTGGGATTTCTATTGAACTAGATGGTTTGAGGAACTGCAGGTAGTTCATCGCAGCTTGCTAGGATCCGAAATAGCTTCATTATGCAACAAGCTTGAGAGCCAAGGGGTCGAAACCTACACCCGGCTATTGTTGGCACATTGATAGCTCAACGAGGCGTTCAGTAACTCAGGTACGAGAAATCAGATGTCAAAGTTGGCTCTCGTAGCTATCGTGCTAAACAGGCAAGAAAAGGCTTTCAAATGTAACACAACAATTACAATCCACACGAATATCACGGCGAAGGGAGTTACCCGTATGGTTCAGGACATGCCTGCTTGGCAGCAGCTTCCCTCCGATGACGCCGAGCGTTTTGGCAGCTCCCGTCACCCCACCACCAAAAGGAGGGGCAACAGCAGGTAGCCATACAAAACTCAACTCAACCCACGCGGCAAACAACCCTTTCTTTTTGCTGCCATCCCAGTAACCAACCAACCCTCCCTCCTTGCCGTCACTCTCCCAAAAATCCCTCAATCTCCTCCTACATAAGTGTACCACCTACGATTTCATCAACGCAATACCGGTCATACTTGAAGCCAACACAATTGCGAATCATGTCTCTCTCTAACAAACTCTCCATCACTGATGTCGAGCTTAAGGATAAGCGGGTGCTTATTAGGGTATGAATCTACTTTCTATTCTTATATGAATGCTATAAGGAGCTAGAGATGCAGACAATGAAGTGCTAACATCTGCCAACCACAGGTCGACTTCAACGTCCCCCTCGACGCCGAAAAAAACGTAACCAACACCCAACGCATCGCCGGCGCCGTGCCAACCATCAAATACGCCATCGACCACGGTGCTAAAGCCGTGATCCTCATGTCGCACCTCGGCCGTCCCGATGGCAAGGTCAACGCGAAATTCTCGTTGAAGTCCGTTCTGCCTGAGCTCGAGAAGCTCCTAGGGAAGAGTGTGCAGTTTGCGCCGGATTGTGCGGGCAAGGAGGTCGAGGAGATTGTTAATAAGGCTTTGGGTGGTCAGGTGGTTCTCTTGGAGAATTTGAGATTCCATGCGGAGGAGGAGGGGAGCTCGAAGGATGCTGAGGGGAAGAAGGTTAAGGCGGGGAAGGAGGAGGTGGAGGCTTTTAGGAAGGGACTGACGGCTTTGGGGGATATTTATATTAGTAGGTTACCTTTTCTTTTACCTTTCTCGCTCCATTGTTTTTGAATGAGACGGGGTGGAAATGAATGGGACAGATACTAATGGGATGGATAGACGATGCTTTTGGAACCGCACACCGTGCTCACAGTTCCATGGTCGGTGTCGACCTCCCACAAAAGGCATCTGGTTTCCTCATGAAGAAGGAACTCGAGTACTTTGCCAAAGCCCTCGAGTCCCCTCAACGTCCTTTCCTCGCTATTCTCGGAGGTGCCAAGGTCTCCGACAAGATCCAACTCATCGACAACTTACTGGGTAAAGTCGATAGCTTGATCATTTGTGGTGGAATGGCTTTCACATTCAAAAAGACCCTCGAGAACGTCAAGATTGGAAACAGTCTATTCGACGAGGCAGGAAGCAAGACAGTTGGTGATCTCGTCGCAAAAGCCAAGAAGAACAATGTCGAAATCGTTCTTCCTGTTGACTACATCACCGCTGATAACTTCGCTAAAGACGCCAAGACCGAAACTGCTACCGACGAGGAGGGTATCCCAGATGGATGGATGGGACTCGATTGTGGAGAGAAGAGTATTGAACTCTACAAGACGGCCATCAGCAAAGCCAAGACCATCCTCTGGAACGGACCTCCAGGTGTCTTTGAGTTTGAAGCTTTTGCTAAGGGTACCAAGGCTACTCTTGATGCTGCCGTTGATGCTGCACAGAATGGAAAGATTGTCATCATTGGCGGTGGTGATACTGCGACCGTGGCTGCGAAGTACAAGGTTGAGGATAAGCTTAGCCATGTTTCTACCGGTGGTGGGGCTTCCCTTGAGTTGCTGGAGGGGAAGGAGTTACCTGGTGTTACTGCTCTTTCGAGTAAGTAAATCTTTTTCTTTTCTTTTGGACGGACGGATGAATGGATGGACGGATGGAAAGGAATGGAAAAGGAAGGCTTTGATACAAATACCAACTCCAATTCAAGGTCGTCAGAGTAAGGCTAGTCTATAAGGGAGGGAATGATATGGCTGGATCACGAATCGTGGTTGGTACATAGTTTTATAGCAGATTGTGAAATCAAACATGACCTCTTTTAAAACATTGATACGCAGGATTTGCAGGGGTTTTTTTGTTGTGTGATTCGAGTTGGTTGGTATTCCATTCATGAAGCTGTTACCTACCCTCATCTCCTCTTTGAAGATGACGATGGTTCTCTTTCGTATCCGACCAGACCAGACCAGACCAGACCTGGTTCCGCAGACTAACTGACTGACTTGCCACATCTCCCCATACACTAACTCACGACCACTTCATCCCTTCCATGTTTTTTGTGACCATGCCATTGCAGTATTTTCCGCATTTCCCCTTGTGATACGGACTATGCCACCCTGAACCCCGGTTCAATCTCAACATCAACGTTTCTTGCTGGCTTCGACTTTCTTGAGTTCTTCCCTGATTAGAGAAGATGGGTTAGTATTAGATTGACTGTGTTATTGTGTCGGTGGGGACGGGCTGTAGCGGGATGTGAGAGGGATGTGTGGGATATGAATATGTGGGAGGGAAGGAGGGAAATTTACTTTAACTGTGCCGAGAAATCCTCGCTCGTGTCGTCGTCGTCCCAGCTTTCTTCCCAGAGGTGCGTGGAGGTGTCTGGAACTTCGGTTTCTTCTTTTGTCCAATCTGGGGGGTTTTTGTTAGCGTTTTCTGGAGCTTTTATGGAAGGACTTGCGGGGGGGAACGTTGTTTGTGTTTGTGGGGGACTTGAGATTGGGATTGGGAGGGAGGGTGTTGTATTGTAGGTATGGTTATGGTATGATATTGGTGATGGGAGAGAGCCAGACGTAGAAAGACATACTCTCCACAGGGAAATCCTCAAACTCATCGTCTTCCTCCAATGCCGCGGCGGGCTTTACTTCCTTCTGTGTGCCTTCGGCGGTGCCTTTCTCGGCTTTCGAGGCGCTGGTGGTTGGCGCGGAGGACATTTTTGTGGTGTTCGTTTGGCTGGAGGGGATGCGCTGTTGGGGAGGAGGGAGAACTGAGGGGGTGTTTGCGATGGTCAGGGAGTTCGTGGGAGAGGGTGTGTGGGCTGTGGTGTTGTGGTGTTGTGGTGTTGTGGTGTTGTGGTGTTGTGGCGTTGTGGTGTTGGGTGCTTGGGTGCTGAGGTTTGCTTTGAGGTTTGGTTTGGTTCAGAGCATAGGTATGGACATCTACAGATGGAAGTGGAAGTGGCGTTCCGTCAGTGAAGTGGGTCTGTTGAGCCACACCTCAGTTGGGGAGGTGAGGGGTGACAGGGATTAGGCTTCCCTATGGAGGAAGTTGTGTCTGATTTCTGTTTGCATACAGGGACTATTAAAAGCAGCGATAAATTACTAGTTGTGGCTTTGATTTTTTATATTTTATATAGAGAGAAAAACAGAGCTTGGAATGAGAGTATCCATATCTTAGGCTTGCGAGATGCTCGTCTGATGTATGGATGGTGTGGTCAGTACATAAGTAAGCATAGAGAAATACAGTGCAGTACGGTGCTTGGACTGGATGACGACGTGTGGAGCGCATGCATGTGTTGTTAGCAGCTGGGCCATGCGAGCGACAGAGCGAGGAGGGAGCGAATGGTGAGGCCAATCAACCATTCAAGCTGGTGAGCTAATATTTCTTTTGCTTACTTTCTCTTACAACCTCAACTCATTCTTCACCTTGAAAATATTCACAGATCAGTTTCTGACGGTGAAAGTGCGTTGTGATATATTTGTTCTCCGTGGTATGGTTGTTGGATAACTGCCCTTCTTGACAAGGCTCTGTGAGTATTGCCTTCGTCCTATCCATCCCCAACGAGAGCAACACACGAGTCAATACTCTATCAAGCCATCCATTTTCACCGCAACGCCGAGTATCATTCATATACTCAAACCTCGTGCACCATCTGAATAAAGACCTTCACAAAACCCTCACTCCATCCGGGTTCTTGGGAGGATTTAAGCTTCCATCTCCATGATCCCCGAGCACCAAACCCCCAACAAACCACCACAACCGGGCCACCCGGAACTCACCTCCTCCCTCAAGAACACCCTCCAACACCATCAAAAATCGCAAGCATGACATCCTGGTTCCGCTCCGTGGTGAAGACCGCCCCAGCCATGACGGGCGAGGAAGAAGATCGACATCTCCAGCACGTGGAGAACGCCCTGCTCCAGCTGCTCAACGACGATATCGCTGCCGCGGATGAGATTCTGAAGCAGCATGGGAGTTCGTATCATCACCTTGGTCGAGGCATCTCGAGTTTTCTGGCGAGTATGCTGGGTGCGGAGAAGGAGTTGCTGAAGGATGCCTCGAATAAGTTGTTGTTGAGTGAGAGTAAGAATTGGGAGGATATGAAGGTTGCCCAGCGCGAGCCGGCCGCGTATAGGAGTAAGGTTTATCCTCCTGGGACGGAGTATTTGTTGTGTTATGCTGGTATGTCAATCTTCTCTTTCTCTTTTTCCCTCTTTTTCCTGATCTTTGAGTTTTGTTTTCCGTAAGTGTTTGGGATGTTTTGGTGGGTGGTGAGGTGGTGGTTTGAAGAAGTGACTGAATGAGGTTACAATTCTTCACCAGTTTCTTCGACATCGATTTTATACCATGATCCTCAAATATGTTTTTTGGTGCTAGAGTTGTTACACTCAAGTGATTAGCACTCAAACTGCCCCTTTTCTAACTTTCCAATCAGATTGGTGTAATAGTTCATGTTTAAGAGCTTATTGTTTCAATTGTCTTGTAACGCTCGGTTATTTTGAGTAACCCACTCAAATCATGTTTGCTACTTTCATTCTTTCAAGACACTCAATCAGTCATTTGGAATGTCTTGATATTGTGGACTTGGGAGTTAAAGTACAACTCGTTGTAAAAGTTTGGAATAACGGATCTGATTTATTACCGCTTTCCTGCTCGTTGACGAATACCTAAAGATATATTAGTCATTATGAGCGTACTTTGCTGATAAAACTTATAGTATCCCAATTAACAAGTGCGATTTGTGGTGTTATGAGTGGTTCTGTAACCGAAGCAGTAAAAGGATTCTACAAATTAAGAAAAGCATATCTCACTCTCGACGGAATTCTGGCCGCCGAAGAAGCATATCTCAATAAACAAAAAGGAAACATATCCAAATCATCACACACCACAACCGAAAACGGAAACACCATCCAGACTCCCCATGAAAATGGAATCGGTGGAGAAAAAGAGGCTGAAGCTCTACGTCTCGCTACCAATAGTGACGATGAGGATTTCGAAGTTGTAGAAGATAACAAGTTCCTCCGACCAACCACCGCTCAGTCAGAACTTTTAGATTTAGATACCGCAGCTGTCGGAATCACATCCCATACAGATATCTTCATCCACGCCGGAACTCGACTATGCTACGGCATGCTTCTTGTCATATTCTCTATGATAGAGAATCCTCTTTTCAACAAGATCCTCTACATTGTTGGATTTAAAGGTGATCGAAAACGCGGGACCAGATATCTCTGGCAAGCCGCTAGATTTGACAGTTTCACCAGTGCGATTGCTGGTATGGCATTATTGGGTTACTATAACGGCCTGGTAGGATTCTGCGATATCCTTCCTACCGACGCAGGTGCAGACGATGATCTCTCAGGCTACCCCAAAGCACGCTGTCGTAAACTCCTCACCGATATGCGAACTCGCTATCCCGACTCCAAACTCTGGAAGATGGAAGAGGCGAGGATGAAAGGATATGATCGTGACCTAGCAGGAGCTCATGAGATTCTGGCGGTAAACTCGGATAGTAACATGAAGCAAATCGCCGTCATCAACATTTTCGAGATGAGTTTCACAACCATGTTTCTACATGAGTATGAGGAGTCCGCAAAGAGCTGGCAGAGGGTGGCCGAGTTAAGTGAGTGGAGTCCGGCAATGTATGCATATCTCTCTGGTGTCGCCTATCTCGAGCTCTACCGCGAATATCGCGTCCACGACACGGAAAAGGAGAAAGCGGCGAAGTTCAAGAAATTGGCCGAGGAGTGTATACGTAAAGCTCCACCTCTGACGGGCAAACAGAAGGTTATGAGTAAAGAGTTACCCTTTGATACCATGATCCGACGGAAGATCGAGAAGTGGGAGGGCAGAGCGAAGACTTGGAAGGTGGACTTAGCGGATGCCACGGGTGTTTCGCCGTTTGTAGAGATGATTTATCTTTGGAATGGAGCGCGGAAACAGGATGTTAAGCTCCTGGAGAAGAGTTTGGCGTTATTGAACTGGGAGAGGACGAGTCATCCCGAGAAGTTCGAGGGCGATGTCGATGAGATGGGGGCGAAGGGGTTACTTGAATCCTGCGTGTTGAGGAACCTCAAGAAATATGAGGAGGCAAGAAGTATACTGATGAAGGAAATCGTTTCGCTTGATAAGTATGTCCATCCCCCCTTTCTTTCTCCATAATCATCCAACTAACATATACACAAAGAAATCTCTTCAAAGGTCCCCTGAATGATGACTACATCCCCGCCTCCGCCCACTACGAACTCGCCTGCATCGAGTGGGCCGAAAAAGACCTACCTGATACTAGTAAAGAGGTCCATCGAGAGAAAGTCCTGAAGTGTGATGAGTACTTGGGTATCACGAAGAGGTGGGATGCGTATGTTCTGGATGGAAGGACGAGTATGAAGGTTATTACTGCGGAGAATAGTGTTAGGAGACATAGGGCTTTGATGGGGTATTGAGGTGTGGGTTGTGGTAAGGGGAAGCGGGAGTTAAAGGAAAGAGATGGGGTGGTTGAGGGGCTTGGAGGTTGGTTGGTCTTGGAGTTTTAAGGTAAAGGTAGGGTGGGGAATCATGCATATGGAGAAAAGAAAGATGAGATGCGGGTTTTTGGACTTGGGTTTTTGGCGGTTAGTAGAATGGGGTAAGAGGATTGGGTCAAGGTGGTTTGTTTCTTTTGCATAGGACAGAAAGAGAGGAAGAAAGAAAGAAAGAACGAAAGAATTGGTTAGGTTAGGTTAGGATGGATGGATCGGATAGTGGTTGTGGTTGTGGTTGTGACTTTTGAGTTTGAGGAATTAGATGGATTGAAAGAATTGAGTGGATTTGTTTGTATGTTTGTGTGTTTCTGTGTTTGTAGAGAGAAGGGGTTAGATATATACATATACATATACATCAAGAGTATACGACTACTAACCTCTTACCTCTCTCCTCGCTCCTACCTCCCAAGACTCAAGTTCACGTCTTGATAAACCAGAACTATGGAGCTACGATTAGAGCTTTAATTATCTAATGACTACTCGTAGGCTACCTGGGTGAGAGGATATACCTACCTACCTACCACCACCCACTTCCCAATCGGTATAAACTATAAAATCTCGAACGTGTAATAGCGTATATACATATTCTACCGATTTCTCGCAGCCCATTGATTGGGTGCTCGAACGTAAGTTACGTAACACATGGGTTTGTGGAAGAAGAGAAAGGGGAAATCATTTCGGGAGAGTATTCTGTTCTTTTACCATTTAATGTCCTCGAGAGAATTCTTGGTTTTATCTGAATCTTTTGAGAGGGGTGGGAGGATAGTGTCGATTTTTTGGGTGTTGTCGATGGATGGTGGATTTGGATTGGGTTGGGAATGTGGGAGAGAAGGGGGGAGGGGAAGGGGGGTTTGGTAGGGGTTATTGGATGGTGGGAGGATGATAGGGAGAGGAATTGACAAGGAGGCATGTTATCTCTTTCCATATTCGTTTAGCTAAGCGTGCCGTGTAAGGGATTCCAGCTGGGAGGTTCATATAGAGATTTTCTTTGTTCTTTGGAAGGGATGGGTTAGGGCAAATAGATGGTTTATAGGGGATGTGTGTGGAGTTGTAGGTCGATGCTTGGTCATAGTGGATAGCTGGAATATACCTATCATTTGTTTTTGGATTAGCATACGAGTATGGACTACTTGATATCTAGGACTTGTAGTAGTACTCTACACCTTTGAATAAATACACTTATGATTCTAGATACCCTAGGGACTGCTTTATATTTTCTGTCGTCGGAAAGTCTTTTGTCCTATTTAAAGACTCTGATAAGGGTTTTATAGTACTACGCTTTTAGATGTCAGTAATTTTTTCTTTTCTTGTAGACACATTACGAGTATGAACATCCAAATAGAGAACAAAGGCACTATATTAGTAAATAAATAGGCATGCGCAACTTATAATCTTCATCTGGCTAGCTTATAGGGAGGTGGTACTCAGTAGGATTGTTGGGCAAGATCACTGCTACAAACCATCATGAGGAGTAGGTCTCTGAAGAGGGAATCTCTTAGAAACTTCTACCACAAAGAACTGAATGGGAGAAGTGGGATTACTAATTATCTATGGACTGTAGTTGGGAAAATCGATGAGGTGGATATACTTGCTTTTTTCCATCTGAATTTATAGGCAGTGGAAGAAAATTTAGTTTCGATTTATTGTTTGCTGTTGAATTCGGATATTTCGTTCATTACCACCTAGTGGAAAAGGGTCCCAAGTCTTGGGGGCCACTGGATAGTTGTATTAGGCAACTTGTGGAAAGTACACGAAGGATAGTAAGGACATACCGCGGAAAGTGACGGCTACACCAAGAGTAGGGGCTATACCAGCCACCGCCACGGTAGTATTGCTTCTTGCGATGAACATGTCGTGAGAAGGGAATACTAAAGCGTGCTGATATATGGGAGGCGGAAGGACTGTATTTGAGGGCTCTAAGTGACTTTGGAAAATCGGTAGGCGGTTGTTTGAAGATTTGGTCTTGGGTACGATTTGATTTATTGTTGGTAATGGACTTGGGTGGTATGTTTAAGGGGGAAATTTTTATTCTGAGAAAGAATAGTGAGAGGGATGTGGTAAGTTGGAGGGTGACATGTTTGTTAGTGAATGTGGGTTGAAGATAGGAAGATGATTAGGATGGGAATTATAGAGTAGCGAGTAGGTAATTGAAATTCGATGTTCGCCCGATAGGTAAGTTTTATGTTAAGGTCCCTAGGAGACCGTGGTTAGTTACGATAACCTTTAATAGCTAATTCATCTACTTGTTTTATAGAACTTAATTGTATGTCCAAAGCTGTCTGGGATAATACCTAATTCACTTAGGTATACTAGAGCTCGAGAAATCAGTTGCATAGATTAGGAAAATCTTTTTCCGTTATTGTTTAGTATTTTCTGTCAAAATACTTATCCTTTCGGAGTCCTCGTTTTCGATGGAATTTCAGTCTGTCTACCGATCCTAGCATATTCATTAATACGTTCTATATCCGGTATCCTGGTACGACTGATACTGTAAATCTGGTGAATACGACTGTTATAAGTAGCAGGATGGGCTCGTAGAATATGAGACTATGAATGGTTGAGATGATGATGATAAGACTATCAATGAATCCTTTTGGAAGCTGTGAAGACTGTGGATTGATATGAGTCGAAACTATGGTCAAATCCTCTCCCTCGACTTCTCTGCTTCTACGTGAATGGCATTAGCTCTACTCTTTATTTTATTTGTGGAATCATCCGAACGTTCATTAGTCGTCGAATGTTACTCTCGAAATGCACGGTAGCTTCGAAGGTGGAAAGTTCGTTTAATTCATTTGGTCGAGGTATGAAATCGAATTTGAACGGTAAATTCATTTTAGTGTGGGCAGCGATAGGTGGAGGCTGAATAGGGGGAGGATGGAGTCGAGGCAGCCCATGTTGGTAGTTGTGGTGTCATGAATGAAACTTGTGGTAATATTTTGATATTTCAGTGTAAAGGAACGGTACTATATTAATAAGGAAAAACGCACTCATTGCAGTACCTTTTTTTACTTTACACACTACGGTAAATGTAAAAGCCGAAAAGATATTATCCCCTCAACGATATAAATGTACACCTGGCATTTTAGGTTTGCGATTTCCTATTTAAGCGGTCGGAGCGATCGGAATAATGCCTAGACGCGCTACGGGGCTTGGCCCGACTTGCTCCGCACCAACCAAATACTACTATCGTCGAGGGCCAAGACTAAAAGTGGATATCGCAAACCTAAAATGCTAGCTGTATATATATATCGTTGAGGGGATAAGACAGTACCGGTACTGTAAGCTCTGGGGCTAGATCTAGTTTCTCCTCGTCTCCTCTCGTCTTCTCAGAAGCATTAAGTAATCGAGAATACATTTTATTCTCATACATTGGTGAAGTCACCTACACCTTTTGTATAAATTGGTGCTACAATAGCGAAAATACCTTTAAAGTCGTATCCAGTCTTCCCTACGCGGTTCCAATCACACGTTGATATAAAGGGTAATCCCGAGGACTTTCCGAAGACCTTCCGGAGACTTTCCGGATTAGCGACGGGAATACCCCGGAAAGCCTTCGGAAAGCCTTCGAGGAAACCATTCCTAGTCCGCCACAGTATCCGCGCCACAAAAAGCACGGCGGCAATTCTTGACATCTGCTAGACAAACACTTTCGAACTGTATTACGATACTTGTTGGCTTGAGAAGATTACACTTACTAATGTTCTTGCACGAGAGCTAGTTATTAGTTATTTAGCTAAACTATATGCAAGGTATTATCATGCCTTTAAGTAATAAGCTTATTGGATTTTGTTAAGCGAATCAAGACAACCTAAGGTGCTGTGAAATCGCAGCCAAATTTTCAAATTAACACTGTGAATTGCGAAAAGAGATTACAGGTCCAAAATGCTTCTTCTGCGTGAAGAAGGAAATCCTAAGAGGTGGAACATAACCTCAGCCATCTGAGAGTCGACCACTCTAGATGGTCTAGTTCCAAAATATATTTGAAAATTTGCTTTATACAAAAGATCATTCTAAAATACCTTGGGATAGCTCCGCGTGTACGGAGAAGCCTGAGGATTGCAGTAAAGGACACATACTACTACACTAGCTCTAACAAGGGGGCAAAGAAAATCTTAAAAATAGAAGATGAAGTCCAGTCAGCTCTTCAAAACCTGATAACCTTGATTTCAATGCTTATAATGTTTGGGCGCGTTGTTGTAGTTTTACTACAAGCAGCGATAAAAATGTACAGTGGATTAAAATTGGCGGATCATTTCGTACACAAGAAGGATAGTCACGCAATTCTATTGAATAGAAGAAGACCAGGTTTAGTTCTACTCTTTGGACTGAATTAAATATACAGAGAATGTTAACTCAAATGCTAATCTTCATCGGTACTCGTTCTTTTCCTTGGAGTAATCCTGATTTGGACAGGCTTCTTCTGATAATCATGAAGGTCTTCAAAGAGGTCCAATCCAATCTCTCACCATATTCATGTAGATCAATTGCCCATATGATCCTTGCCATCACGATTTTCATCTCTGCCAATGCAAGACTCTTTCCAATACAGTTAGAATGACCAACACTGAATGGATTACTGACCCCGAAATGATCATTATCGAATTTGGCGGGTCGAATATCTTGCGGAAGCCAGCGTTCTGGAATGAAGGCGTCAGGCTCCGCAAAATATTTTTCCGAACGAGACATGGTGTAAGGACGGACTGATATGGAGGTCTAAAGTCCTGTTAAAACGTGTTTCTCTCAATTCATGCCGGCAGTGGGACTTACTTGAGCTGGAACAAATACGCCAGCATACGTATCGCCGCCTTCTGGAACAATACGAGGAAGACCTCCCGGCACTGGATTTGTGAGACGGAGGCCCTCTATGATTACGGAGTTGAGATAAGATAGCTTGCTTGTTGTAACAATGGAGATGTCCTTTTCATCGGGAAAGCTGCCACGAATATCCGAGGTTAAGTTGTCCAGCGTGTTTCGATTTTGAACAAGATACAGGAAAGTCCCAGAGAGTGCTGTGGCAGTTGCGTCGGCACCAGCCACGATAAGAATTGCAAGATTGGACTGAGTCTCTCTAAGCGATATTTCGTGAAAATCTATGTTGTCTTCCATGAATGGTGTCACAAAGTCCGGTTTGCTGGTTTCGAGATTTAGACGCCTGTTTATCTTTTCATTGGCGCAATCTGAATGCTGGCGTTGCATCTCCATGACGCTTTTTGGCAGCAGTTTGAACCTTAATGATTCCATTCCAGGATACCACCTGAAAGCTATTAGCACTCTGAGTTCATCAGATCAGGAACATTGAAAGAACCAAGGAAAACTGATAAGCCATAGCGAAAGAACAACGAAACGGGAATACTACCTTGTAGAAGCCGCGTAAACCATTCCTTTCAAAAGGTTGTTGAGTGTCTTTACCCAAGGGTGGAACTTGCTGTCTTTCAGACAACCAAACGATTCTCCGAGTGCTAACTGACCAATTACATCAAATGTATACCAACTCATCCAGTCTACGAAGTTCACTACGACCCCTGGAATTTTATTGTCAGGGGTCATTGGGAGACCTCTCAGACGGTTGATGAGCAAATCTACATATGATTCAACAAGAGGCATTTGGCTTCGGAGCGCTCCCTCGGTAAACGAGTTCTCAAGTAGCCTTCTGAAACGGGAATGCAAAGTTGGATCAATTGCCGTAACAATATTTGCGGGCATGTCATCAGGCGCTATAGCAGTGTTAAATAAGATAATGCTTCATACAGGAAGAGATCGTGATTTGTCTACCTTTGTACCAAACAGGATCCTTGGTAGGATTCTGGTGACCCACTCGATTCGTGTAGATATCATGCCATGCTTCTTCTTTTGTAAACGAAATTTCGTTCGGAGCTAGGCGAACAACTTCGCCATATTTGCGATGGATTTCGAGCTGGTCTTTTACTAAGTTTCCTCGGAGTAGAGAGACAGCGTAAGGTATACGGCTGACTCTCCAAAGTATTGGCCCTGGAAACTTGGCAAGAGGATGAAAGTAAAGGTTGAATACCATCGCAGTAATTGGATACTGAGTTGGCTCCGTGTCAGTTATGATTATTCAATGGCACACAACTGGTCGACTTACAGATATAAACAGCCCAAGAACAGTAAGGAGTCCCAAGGTCAAATTGTTACCTGGGGTACCGTGAGAGTCAAGGTCGCTCATCGTGGTCAAAGTCTCGAGGAATAGTGAGAAGAATTGGTCTAGGATCGGAAAATTCATATAATTTATCCTTCAGAGAATGGCTATAGCTGCGAAACAAAACAGAATGTTTACCACTGGGAGGGACAATTATTGTAGAAGTGTAAGAGAGGAAAGTGATAACCAACAACCCAACAACTTGGAATCTACCAAGTCCCCACTTTGCTGGGGGCGAAAAACCAACAACCATAGTCTCATACACTCGTATTGTAAATCCACGCCTCTACAAACTTCACTTTTAGATTATGAAAGGAGGACAACTATAGATTCCAAATATTTATTATATATAATCTCTCTTCAAAATGGTCCCAATGTTTCCCCATTATACTCGTGGACAAAAACCGTGGTATTCCCACGAAAATGTCAACTAACCGAATCGATTGGCTATAAGACCAACAACAACACCAACACCAACAACCTTTAGTCTAAAGATAGATGCAGTGTGAGTGACTGCAACCAGGCCTTATTAAAAGAATACTCATGCAAGCTGTCACTGGTTGTAACTGCTCGTCTCGCCATTTACAGTAGCGCAGGGCACAAAACCGCTAATCCTTTTATGTTTATACCTCAGGTGGCTTGAAGTGGGAGCTCTTCCTAGTACCGACGAATTGATTTCACAATTGCCTGTAGTGAATTCTGGATATCCAACATGTGCTTCTGGAATATCATTTCTTTTATTTGCCCTACATGTACTTTAGATAACCCTAAATTCTACAATGTATAACAAATTCTCTAATATACTACGGATTAGCTATTATTTACATCTTTAATATGTGGTAAGAATTATTCCAGAGAAGCTCGTAGGGCTAAAATTTGTATATTAACCTCACAATTCTTTACTTATATATTAAACCAATTGTAAATAAGAAAGTTCCCCTTCCACGGCCACACAATGGTTGACTAGCTTGGTTAAGCAAACCTTGGCCGCAGACAAAAGAAAACATAGAACATCCAACCAGGTTATAAAATTCAATCCCAGCGTACACAGCAGTAAAATACCAGTCGAATTGTATGTACAGTGTGGGGAACGGGTCTTGGATACACGGATGGGGCCGCTGGCGCTTAACTCGCTTCCATCCTTGTGAGCCACTCGTTTGTATTGGTAGGCGTAGGTTGAAGGGCGTCAACTATGGCTTATATATATCGATCAATCGTCGGCTTACCGCCTTTGCGATGTGTTCAGGCAGTCTCATACGTAAAGGCCATCAAGGTTCTATTCGTAAAGGGGCATGATATTCGCTGGTCAAGGTCTTAAGGCAAAAGTGGAATAGCAAGAGACGATAGTTGGGTTTGCTTGAAATACAGGACTCCGGGGGGTCATCCGACTCTTATACTGACGGGAGATTGATGGTACTCGTGCTCGGTTAGTTTGTTTTGCTTTCCCGGCGAGCCCGGTCTCCGCCTCCGTACAAGAGTCGAGGATAGTGAATGTCAAATCATTACACCACAATGACGTCAAATACCTCGCACCTCGAGAAATCGCCCGACAGTTCCCAAATGGATTATTTTCAATCGTGGCTTTTGTTTCACATGGGGGGTTTTCACTTTGGGACGAATGACTCTACGAACGGTCCAACGACATGTGTGATAGTATATCTCAACACATGAATGACGAACTGTAAGGTAACGATGGACTTTGGAATGAGAGAGAAGTTAAGTGCCTGGTCCTGGTAGGAATATATATATATATATATATATATATATATTTCTTGATGTATGATGTTGGTGATGTCTACATGACTGTCAAAGGCTGTGTAAATCATTAATCACCTAGTATACTTGCGATCAGATTCATGGTTGTAACCTTTTACATCCCCTTGTCGATAGGAAAATAGGTAAGTAGCAAGAAACTGGTGTGTAGAAATAGATATATTTCGAGAAATTCTTTCCTCTTGCTGACGTCTCTATTCGAGGAACAGCTACCTTTGAAAAGGCACTGGATGCGCTGGATAAGAGACTCTCTGACTCACAATCCCGACTACGGGTGCAATATAATAAAGAGAGAGGCTATTCACGGCATGAGACTAATTGTTGATGTTACTCGCGTCAGACATAGTTTATCAACAAATCCATGGATTTGGAAAGCTGAGTCAGAAATGACTAAGCGGTGCACGAGCCTTCGATAGATTGCAGTTTCTTGCTAGTATTGTTAGGTTGGTAGCTTATTGTATTGCCCGGTGGTACACTCGTGTCAAATATCCATAGGCGTTACTGCTAACCTAAGATTATGCCGGTTCCATTTTTCTCATTGCAGGGGCCAATTTACAGGCATCAAAGGTGGGATCAGCATCATTCTAGTCCAAACAAGCGTTGGTTCCCACTCTGAGAAACGTTGTTCAAATACCCACTTCGACTGTTTATCAACATTCGCGCTTGATCTGAAACCTTTCAAGGTTGTCGAGACCTACGCAGCTGTATGTCCACAAATCGGAGGCTCTTGTCATGAAGACCAGTGGGTGACAAAGCGCATATGACAAGCCTAATAGTTTCGTCTAGAGTCCATTCGTCCCTTAGGTGTGATTTTGCCAGCAAAAGTACTCGTCATGTAGGTGTGTTGGCTTCATGTGCGTTGGCTGTAGGAGCTGCTGGAATGGATACCAGTGTTCTGCATTAGGGTCATTGCTTTCTTCCGGTCTATTTCTTTAATTCTCTTACGGCTCGAGTCCATAGTGTTGTATATTTGTAACTTTCGAAATTGCCGAAACCCTTATTTACTTGCTGCATCTTGGTGGACCTTTCCTTTCGCATTCTCTTGCATAGGCCTCAAGTCAAGAATATCTGCCTCAATATTGTATTTGAAAACCATTGTAAGAGGTGTTCTTTCGAGATTCACTGTAGGTCAAGAACTAAACTAACAGTTGGTTATAGTCTACGCTAATGTTCGGACCCATTTCATTTTGGCGATGGAAAAATGGTAAACATGCGGGGCAGAAAGACGAAGTAAGTTTACGAACTTCTCAGCAAAACCCGAAACCCCACCCCCTAATTAATTGTGCATCTTACTAACGATTTTCAAGAACACATATGTTCTTACCATAGAAATTTTCAACGGATATGGCTCCGACCTGCGCCAAAGTACCGATGTTGTACCTGCAGTAGCGTTATTCAATGCCTCTAGCGAGCATTCCTGGATCTCAAAGCGATTCGCACAGAAGCTTGGAATAATACCAACGGATGGTGATTTTGTGGAAGGGGAGAGACTTCAACCCGTCAAACTAGCTTGGAGACCAAAAGCTCTTGGGCGGTATATTCAGCGGACTGTGTTCATGATTGCACCCTTTGCCAAATTCGATGTGCTATTTGCGGAAATGCAGGAAGAGAACAAAAGAGACTCGGAACCCACTTTTTTTCAGAGGGGCATTCAAAAAGGGGTTATGAAGAAGCTCGAGGAGGACAAAGTTATCCCTCAACTGGATGCAGAAGCTTCGGATGATATTGGAGCCGCCAGGCCAACAATTGCTCAACTGGATGATCTTTTACTACAAGATACCGAAGGACACAAAGCTTATCATAGAATTGATGCCTGCAACACCAGAATGAAAGACGGACTTCATGCATGTTCTATTGAAAAGGCTTTGGCAGTGAAGGCTGCCGAGCTAGAACTTCTCCCTGCTGAAGCCGTGGGGACGAATTTGGAATGCTCTTCGGAGAGCCCAGCGAAGTCTGATGAGACAGAACTTCTCCCTGCTGAAATTATGGGAACTAATTTGGAATGCTCTTCAGGTACCCCAGTGAAGCCAGCCAAGCCAGAATATCTCCGTGCTGAAGCTTTGCGGACGAATTCAGAAAACACCTCGGAGAGCTCAGCGAAGCCTGTTGAGACAGAGCTTCTCCCTGCTGAAATCATCGACATAAATATGGAATGCTCTTTAGGTACCCCAGTGAAGCCAGCCAAGTCAGAACGTCTCCGAGCCGAAGCTTTGCGGATGGATTCAGAAAAGTCCTCAGAGAGCTCAGCGAAGCCTGCCGAGCCAGAACTTCTCCCTGCGAGATCCCGGAGGAAGAGTTCGACAAGCTCATCAAGTAGCTCGTTGAAGACAGTCGAGCCAGTAATCCTCCCTGCTGAAATGATGGGAGCGAACTTGTTATGTTCTCCAGATTGTTAGCGCCAAACTTTTGACGCGCACGCGCGGTTGGGGCATCATTGGAGTTATGTTTTTGTGGGGGTATGGAGTTATACAAATTTGTCCTCGGAGTTTGGGTTATATTTTCAACGTCAGGTTACATTGGCTATGTTTTGGACCACCATTTTGGTAGGCGATGTCCCAAAGAAAACACAATTCCATCATTAGTGGAAAGGTTCTACTCTTCAATTGAAATTGTGATTCTTCGTGAGCATATTAAAAGCACTGACAAGGATATCTTCCAGCGCAAGAAGAGCGACAAGATATCCATCCTTGAAGTCGCTTTGTTTTTGAAAAAGTTCACGTTACTCCAACTACTTCTTGAAAACTATAAACCGATATTTAAAAAAAAGATATGCAGAAAAAATCATGCAACGAGCATTTGTAAGAGGTGGTGGAAGAAAATGTGGCCGTGCCTACAAAAGTAAGTTTACCATAAAAAACATCCTGTCATCCAGTCATCATCAAACAGAAACATAAACCAAGTTGGAGATTTGGGTAGGGTTTCTGTACAATTGTCCGAGCATAAACCTGGTTCGGTTAACGATGGTTTTGGGGTGCCTGAGTAAATTGGAACTTATTTGTTTTATAATTTAATGAACGAATTCCTTCTTCTCTTCTTCTTTTAGAGCATTTTTAGCTCGCGAGGTAAATACTTTTACACTATATAAATAACTTTTTTATGTAATTCCTTTATAAATAGATTTGCGACTTTCGCGACTTTTATAAGGATAGGTAGCTAAGGAATATTATTTTAGATTAAAATTGTTATAAATCCGGTGTAAATCTAGTTACAAAAGTTCTTAGATTTATACTACCAAAATAAAAATATAAAAGAACTAAGGCATTAAAGCCTTTAAATCTTTGTAATTCCTGTAAATCTCTATAAGTTATAAATCTTTTAATTCTATGTCCTAGTTCTATACTATAATTTAGTTAGATCTACTTACTGTGACAGACGTGCTTCAGGTAGAACTCAGAACAATTAACACTCTATTCTTAGGACAAAAGACGAGGAAAGAAGGAGAGCTCGAGAGAGCTGGGAACTAAATACAGGTCGTGCGCGCTAGCGCCTCGCTAAGCGAGCATGTGACATCCAGCCCTCGTGACCATAACCGTCACACTTACCTTACTAAGGAGTACCTCGATAAATAACCCTCTAAATATACTATATACGTATACGCTATACCGCGGGTATCATTAGCGTACTTTATTAGAAGACGCGAGATCTAAGATAAAAAGAGGAAGATTACTATATATATTACTACTGTAGGAGCCTAGGCTACTACTAATTATTTTCGGAGTAATTATCTTCAAACTCTATAGTATACTTCGAAGCTTACTAGAGAGTAATAGATAGTAGAACTACTTAAAGAATACCTAAAACATATAAGAGATAATCTCTATATATTTTAAGATACCTTCAAAACCCTTAAGTAAATACTTAGGTAGAAAGATAGTCTTATACTAACTTAATATATAGTAACGATAGAATAGCTTAGTATATTTTTATATATAGTTATAAACGACTTATCCTTATATGAACTCGTAGAACGCTTTTAAAGGTAAACAAATCCCTATAATTTAATCAGATATCTACTTACTTTTCTAAGGAGTATAGAGATAGTTTAGTATACTTATTATAAGATGGTATAGATATTACTATCTAATAGTAACTTATATATAATTCTACTATCGCTAAATTAGACCTGGAATAAATACCCCTATAAATTAAGCTTAATTTAAAGAATTATCCCTAGTTTAAGGATTATATTAGAGTAATAGATAGTACATATATTCCTATCATACTATATAATAAGGAATAATTCGTCTTTCGAGATAGACTTAGTAACTTATCTTAAAATATACTAGCTATTTATATATTCGATATACGATTTACATATATATTATCTAGGTAGGAGGAAAGTATAGTAGACTTAACTTTATAGGTATACGCTATATGTTAAGGAGCTATATAAATACTAAAGGGGAAATATATTCTCGGCGACTATAGCTTTCCTAGCTTAGTAGAATGTTGTAACGAATACTCAAACTGGCTAACTAAACTTGGCTGGGTGCTCGCTGGTTGGTATGCTATGATAAGAAGAAGACTATCGGGTTGTTCACTTGGAAGTGAACTCGTTACTTTTATCAAAGATGTCAAACTAATATGATAAGATTGATAACTAAGTTGAGCACGAAGCTCCTATCTAATGGCAGAAGTGCCAGTCTTATATAGAACCTTCGTTCTCTGTGGTCGCCATGGTCGACCTGGTCGACCATGTCGCTCGTCACGATGAGCACGAAGCTCCTATCTAATTGCAGAAGTGCCAGTCTTATATAGAACCTTCGTTCTCTGTGGTCGCCATGGTCGACCTGGTCGACCATGTCGCTCGTCACGTGATCCCTAGTCCAAGGAAATCCTTGGATCGCTTAGCTAACCTAAACGATCCTCATTTGCTATAAGTCTATGGATGGTGCTTGACCTGTCAGGACGCCGCCTGGTCTTCACTAGTCACGTGTGCACGTGATTCGTGACATATTGATTTAGTCCTCAGTTCTCGAATTCCTAAAAGAGAGAATTTTATACTAAGATTTTTTAATAGCTTTACTATAATTATAGAGGATATACTTAATATTATTCTTACTACGGTTTATATTACTATAATATCCGAGTAAATATACTCGGTAGTACGGACTACCTAACTAGGCTAGTCCTACCTATATTATCGCGGTATAACTTCTATACCTTTAACTCGGTATATATTAATAATAGGAATAGTCTAATACTAAGGTTTAGCCTCTTCTTATATTATACCTTATATTTAATAATAATGTTAAACTAATAGTTTACAATAAATATATTTAGTAGATAGGTATAAGGTATATATATAGTAAGAATAGCGCGACTAGATTTTATAGAAAGGTTAATTCGTAAGTAGAACTTATAATTTAACTTCTTATTCTTATAATTTAGTATATATTACTTTTAGTTTTATTTAATAATATTAAAAGATAGGTTACTATTAAAGAATATAAACTTAGTAGCCTATTTAGCTTTCTTAACTATAGTTTATTCTTTACTAGCTTATAGCTCTACTACTACCTCGTCGAAGGTACTATTAGCGCTAGCTTATTATTATTATACTAGCTATTTCTTAATATTTCGATAAGGTTCTGGAGGGTTAGTTCGAAGCTTTATATACAGCTAGCCTACTAGTATAATAGCAGTAGTAGTAGTATTAGTAGTATAGTAGATATAGTTATAGTAGAGTTAAAGGGAAAAGGTATTATTATAATAGAAAAATATTATTATAGTAGTAAAACGCTATAGCTTTAATTTACTAGAAAATAAGTATAGATATATATAGAAAGTAGTAAAGATATACTAATAGAAATACCTCTACTTTTTAAGTAATACTAATAAAACTATTCCTTTTTCTGAAGGTATAAACTAAAGGGTAGTTTTATTACTTCTTAAATATATAAAAGGTATTTAAGAACTTTCTAATAAATTAGAAGATAGTTTAGTTAATTACTATATTAAAAGTTATTATAATAATTTATAACTAGTTATATTAAGTTTTAATAATTATTAACTAAATATATTAATTATAGTAGTAGTTAAGTTAATTATATAATAGTATAGTTATATTTTAATAAAAGTTAAATAAACTTATTTATATTTTACTATAAAGTAAAAGTTAATATTTTATTAATTATAGTCTTTATTTAGTCTTTTACTTTAAATATATTTATACTAGAATAATATATTCTAATTAAATAATCATTTAAACTATAATCTATTTAATAGTTCTTTAATAGAGAAATAACTTATAGAAATAATTTATAGTTTAATAAAGAATAAAAGAAACTTTACTTAAGTACTCTTATAATTAATATCTTTTAATACTAGTAAATATAATTATTTACTAATTAATAGTAGATAGAAATCTATATATTCTAGTATTATACTCTAGGTATTATAGATTATAGACCTTAGAGAATATAAATTATTATAAAGTAAATAATTCGAATATTTTCTTAATTTTAGCTTTATTTATATAAGCTACCTTATATACGGTTATCTATAAACTACTATAGGTATTTATAAAACTAATACATTATATCTAGATTTTCTAGAAGGTTAGAATCTAAATACCTTATAGGAAAGCCCGGGGCTTTTATAATAGTTATATACTTATTACTAATTAGCCTATATTCTAGGAGCGTTCTAGGAGTATTCTAACTTAGTAATTATTCTAAGATAAAACTATTTATTAGCTAAATAGTTTTTAGTTAAATATATTATACGATTATTGTTATAAGTAAGTATTTAGATTTAAAGAATAATTATTCTTTATAACTATCCTAGGATAATTCTAGGATAGTTCTCGAGAATTTTCTTAGATAATAAGAGAATTAGAGGTTATATAAATAAATATAAGTACTTGGTACTACTCTTATAGGCTTAACCTTAACGCTATATAAATTTAGGTTTTAGAATCGCTTAATTCGGGCGATTTTAATAGGCGCGCCTTATTTAGGCGCTATTACAAGTAGTTTTATTACGTACGTAGTTACCCTAGTACGTACCTAGTATACCTATAAGCGGGTAAGGGTAAGTATAAGTATTCCGAGTCTTAGTATACTACCTACTAGATAGCTAGGTAATGGTTCTAGAACGTTCCCGGAACGCTCTTAGAATAGTTCTCTACGGGAATAGGAAAAAGTTCCTTTTTTATTCCTTCTAAATTATACTTATATACTTATTTTCGTACCTTTTATATACTAAATTATAATAACGTAACTAAAAAGATATACTAATATTAGTAGAAATATAAATAGGTTAATTCGGAGTCTTCTAGTATTTCTTATATATTTTTCCGAGTTATATAAAGTGAGAAATCTACTATATAAAATAGTATCTCCTCGGTATAAATTCGGAAGTTTTTTCCGTTCTTATAAAGACGGTCTTAGGACGGTTACTAAAAGATAGAACGATTATCTAGGGTAATAATTAATATTAAAAATAATTAGGAAATCCTTAATTATACTTATACTATTATAAATACTAATAGTTCTATTATATAAGTATAATACGATAATTAAGGGAGGGTTATCTTTTCCTAATACTTAAACTTTTTTAATTATTATATTATAGTGTTTACGACGGTCGCAAAACCCCCGGGCTCTCCTATAAGGTACTTAAAACCTATTTCTAATTATACTAGACCCTATAGATTATATATTTCAATTCTAAAATCAAATATTTGAAACTTTTCTTCATTTCCAACTTTGTCTATATAAGCTGCCTTAGGCAAGTTTACGATTCCGATCTTAAGTAAGGTGGGGGGGGGATAGGGGTACTGGTATTACAGGTATAGTAGTAAAGTAGTAGTAAATATGTAACTTTTGCTATTTGCGATTATCTTGTTATTGGTCTAATTGTACGATTGGTATGCCGAGGGTGTTACAAGGAATGACAACACCTCAGCTTCAAATAACCCAGACTTTCGTTGCTTTCTTAGAATGGCATCTACCGTGAGGCTCTACAGAGTCTCCCATTTTGTGTCTGCACACCTTGATCCCCATCCTCCACAACCCAATCCTCACTTCCCACCGCCGTGGTAACCTAAAAGACACCCTCCAGGTCCCACTTGTCCTTCAACTCCCTTAGTCTGGGATAATTTTCACCGTAAAATGCGCTCTGCCAATCAGGCTCCCCGATATCCGCTTCATTCAAGTAGCTGCCACCACCTTCTCCGTTTGGGGCAATCCTTCTCCAAGGTTCCAACGCATCCTCTAATTCAGCCGATGCTGCACCCATCTCGGCAGGTGTGGCATCTCCCGCGACATTGATACCTAGAATTAGAAACGAGATAGCCGTTCTCCATGCGGTATTGACTGCGTTGGAGACATGAGCTCGGTTACGTGGTGTTTGGTGGTATCCACCAAGGCGATAGCCGCTCTTGCTGCTTTCTTGAATAGCAGAAAATGTTTGATTGAATTTGACAGGATCCTCCCAATTTGCTCGCGGGAAGAGACGGTTTCCTGGTCGAGTGGTCCAGCCCCCAACTGCTCCGCTTCCAGGAGGCCAGGCTTCATCAAATGCAGGCCAAAATTCTGGGTAACTCTTCGTTGCTGGTGTGAAAGGAATACCCAAGTGACTGAGTTTCTGGAACCAAGGTTGTACTAGGTCGTTGAATGAGGCGATCGTGTGGTTTAGTGCCCAGAAGGGCTTCATATCCATACTGTAAGTCCCGTTTGTGTTGTATATCCAGAAATATGAATAGGTACCTGCGTCTGTGAAGGGAATGAAAAGTTCGAAGTAGGCTCTGACTCCGAGCCAGAATGCCTCTTTGCCGACTAAGGTGGAATTGAATGAGAACGAGGAGAGAGTCACTGGGAGTTTTGGGTGTACACGGATTATTATCGAGGTTACAATTGCGAAGGTACTTCCTCCTCCGCCACGAAGTGCCCAACAAAGGTCCGGGTGGCTCATTTGAGAGGCAGTGATTTTCTTTCCATCTGCGGTTACAGCTTCGAGGGCCATGACCTAGAATATAGACCCTAGAAATTAGTACGTCTCCCCAAGAAAATTATATATTCATTATATACAATCTTTTGAAGTATTGGCGCCTGATGATCCAAAGTAAAATATAAAACGTACTTGATCTGCGGCCATTCCATAGATACCAGAGAGTAGCGTATGTCCTCCTCCAGCAATATACCCACCGGCATAACCCACAGTCTATTCCGAGTCAGTTTCTGTAAAGTTCGATGGAGGATTCCCAAGCATTGGAAAGAAGGAGGGCCAAGGAAGCTCACATCACAAATACCACCAAGTGCCGTAACACCGTGCCTATGAGCGGCCAGATACACTTCTCTGACCGTGACTCCAGCACCCAACTTTAAAGCCTTTCCTTCATACTCTCCTACTTTATAGTCATCAATAAGTTCAATGTCCTTCAAACTATGCGTCCAAACACTCAAAGCCCCCGCACCGCCTGACTTGCCCAAATAGCAATGTCCCGTATTTTTAATCACCAGCCTGATGTTAGCATTACGAGCGAAATTGACCGCCAATTGTATCTGTGCAACGTTACTGATATTGACGGCATAAGCTGGATATCCACCAAGTGTACAGGTCCCATTCAGGTTACTTGTTGGCAGGCAGGTACGACCTTGGAAAATTTGGAAGGCAACGGATGTCGGATCTGCTTCATTGGTATAGGGGTTAACAAGAATTAGAGTGCTTGAAATAGCGAGAGAACCTACTGAAGATAGGGATTCGTCCAGTTTGCAATCACAGCAGCGCATTTTTCCGAATCGTACAAGCCCCAGTTCTTGTAGCAGGGAGCTGCAATTGGAGTGGTAGGAATTAGTGCTCCCCCCAGAAGATTATCGAAAGCATCCCATAAATCTTCTTTGGGCCACGACTTGTCCCCTGGGAATAATTTGCAGGATCCATTTTTAAGCATTGCTTTGGGACTATCTAGATCACCAAAGGCAAAGAAGCTACCATACTTTGCTGTTTTCTCCTGCTCTCTGACTCGTTGTACAAGTTCTTCCGTTAGCTGGAGTCTTTCATATTCAAACAATGTTGCGCCGGCATTTGGAGAGTCTGGTGGGAGTAAAGATGCTACCGGAATTATTGACTGTGACTGGGCGAGGAGCGGTAGGGGAAGGAGGAGTGACCTTGCCCAGAGAAAAAGTATGAACAAGGATTTCGAAGGAGCCATAATAAGATTCAAAATTTCCCCTCAAGGGAAACAAAAAAGGAATCAAAGAAATTACTGAGATTTCTGATGGATTCAAGAGATTGATAGAAAAATCAAGGTAGATGGAAAAAGCCTGGCGGGGGAAATCTGACCACCCTTCCCGAGGTGATGAAAGTTGCAGATCTTGGTAATAGTATCGCAGGTACAGTATGCTAACAAGTGGTTAGAATGCACATAAAGAAATCACACCGGGTAGACACAGAAAGCGCTATATACGATGCTATTCCGCTCGCTTTCCAAGCCTTATTTATCCATATTACAACCTATCCTCCTTCTCTTCCCCGCTTTCTTCGTGTCACAACACAGATTAAATAACGATAACTTGCGATGTCTCGTGATTCCGCTCTGAAGTAAGAACGTAGCCAACATCAAAGTGGATGAGAATAGGCATGAAGTCGAGACAAGCACTGTGGGGCGCTCTGAATCCGACTCAAAGTTCACAGAACTCGAGAAAAAAAGTGCATATATTGTGTTTTCTTATTAAATGGGGTTGCTGTTATTATCAGCACCAAAATGATGATTCCATAATCTATTAACTTATTCCCAGCAGCAATATTCCACATTAATCCACCTTATTAACATAAAACACAAGAGAAGCAAAGCCGAAAAGATTTTACCAGATATACACGGTAAATATAAAACCATTCACATTCAGCCCCCGCAACGCCAACACAAAACAGGAGGGAGGTCTTATCGAGCAGGCATTACTTAGAATCTGGTCCCAAATTACCATTTATATCCTTTGAAGCAGACTGTACTGTCTCGGGGGTGTATCTAAACCCAACTGAGATCATGTCGCTCTCGTCGCTGCTGTCGTTGTCTATGTGTGGTAGGAGGTCTTTCTCTTCTCCAAACTTGGGTAAGTTCTCACAGGTTCCGTTACCAAACGTGGACTGAAGAGGAAGGATTCTGCCTTGTTCGGAACTGATAAACTCGCTAAAGGCACTGGGAGCGTTGTCGAGTCGAGTAGGTTCTTCGGCCATGGATGTCAAACTTCCGTCCTCGGCCTGTACAACCAAGAACGCTTTCTCTCTGTAATCTCGACCATTGGTATGTGTGCTGCTAGGTAATCCGTCGATGAGCCTGGTAAGTATATGTTGCTTGCCCGTACCAGAACAAGTTCTTCGGTAAAGATGTCCATCCTTCGGCGACTGGCGATCTGCTCTTCGCTGTGGCGTGCACATCTGTTGTTGAAGGATAAATAGGAGAAATGCTACCATAAGTCCGATAGCTGCCCATTCTGTGACGCGCATTACCCTCTTCATTCCTCTTTTCATTCCTCCTTGGGAATCAGGCTCAGTCTGATACTGGAGAAGTATACGCTCCTTATACACATGCGGAGGGCCAGGCCAGTAGTGTTTGGGGGTGGTCCGGTGTTTATCATCACCATGACAGAAATTCTCGCTGATCTTTCCGTACAGAGAATGTGCTGCTTCGCGTGCTTTGCCAGCGGCTGGTCTGACAGTACACTTTAAACTATCGCAAGTCATAATGTCTGAGCTAAAGTGACGCTCAATGGTGCACTGTGAGCTATCGCAGGTCATGATATCTGGGCGAGAGTGGCGAGGTGTTTCTTGGGTAACATATCTCTCCTTTTCAAATAGCGGATTTTCCAACTTGGTCAGTTGCAATCGCATTCGGGGAAGCTCCTCGTCTGGGTTGAAACGTGGTATCGGTCCTTGCGTATTGGTGTTGGCGGCATCTAGCATTGAGACCGGGAGAACTGCTGCTGTTGTGAGAGCCGGCGCAAACAGCAAAGCTGCTTTGACGAGACCGCGCATCTTGTTTGAAGCCTATGGATTTTGTCCGGATGAGGAGGGTAAATATAGATAAATGGCTTACGGAAGCACAGGCATATATTTAATCGACGAGGAAGCAAAGAGAGTGAACAGAGGATTGGGAGTCATGGCGGGGCAATGGGTTTGATAACAGCAAACCTGGCCGCCTAGTCAATACTTTATCAAGATTAAAGACTCCGTTTGCATATAGTGGACCCGTTGGGCCGAGAATACTGTAAGATTACATGAGCATTATTATTGGTTCAGCCAGGAAGCGTTGCTCAAGCAGAAGCTTTGTCATCCAACTCTTTGGAAAGCCTTGTAAGCGAGTGGAGTTCTTACAAGGACTTGGGGGGGATGAACCGATGAGACTCCCAAATATCCGAACTTAAATATAAACAGCCTACCGGTATCACAGCACTCAGCTGCGCAAGGAAGCCCCTAGGAATTGAGGTTCACAAAAGCATAAATCCAGATGAACACACTGGATGCCACACTGCATGATACAGTAATATTATTATTATCCATAAATTGGTGTATATTTTCATAAATGATGCTGTGCGGCTTCACACTGTTACAAGATGGAAATTTATGTTTTGAGTTATTTGCGAACAGATCGCCTCGTCACCACGGCCACGGTTTCGTCTCAGCTACATGCATCCTTAAGAGTGTGGAGTTAGTAGATAGGAAGCATATGAAACTTATTCCCGCTACAGTACAAATCTTCGATATCAGTGTTCTCAATCTAATATGCTGATCAACTAGTTGCCATGTTATTATTGAGAATTATATGTACTACAGTAGTACCTAGGTATATATTGTTGCGCACATTTTGGTACTGTGGAATCTGTATGAGAACTGCCCAGGGTTGATAAAGCTTCACAAATTAAAAACGACAGGGTTTTTGTGAATTCAATTTCCAGTACAATTCATATAGTTAGTCGCAAGACAAGACACATAGAGTAAGACTTGCAAGAAATGCTCTCAGAGATCAACCAAAATTGGTACGGTACCAGGTACTCGTAGGTTTTCGAATTTCCGTCCTCGAGACCTTACCCCTCCCTCCCCTTAACCTACCTCGCCTACCTGTACCTGCCCTACCTCGGTACCTGGTGGCGGTACAATTCATGCCATGGTCACGTGTGTCGATGCGGGCCGATGAACTAACTATCCCTGTAATATCAGAGCGGCAGCAACCAAACCTCAACCCACGACAAACACCACTTCACAGCTCCATAATGGTAAGCCACATCTCGCAGATGCTCATTTTGGTCGCGCATTATCTGCGCATCTCTTCATATCAAGAAATCCATCCTAACCAGTTTGCAGCTTCCTCTCGGCCTTCTCACAGCCGCCCAAGGCCACCCTATGCTGGTGGAGCTCAAGAACGGCGAGACTCTCAACGGACATTTGGTTACATGCGATACATGGATGAATCTCACGCTCAAGGAGGTGGTGCAAACGAGTCCGGTGATTATTCCACCCTCATCTATCCGACAGCGCGTCTCGCGGATTGACACCTTCAGTTCCATCAAGCTTGGCTAATATGGGTTTCTAGGATGGAGACAAGTTTTTCAGGTTACCGGAGGTTTATGTGAAGGGAAATAATGCATGTTGAATTGTCCAGAGAGGTTTGCGAAATGCTAATGGTTGACATAGATCAAATATTTGCGAGTACCCGATGAGATCATTGATCTGGTCAAGGAGCAACAGCAAGGTCAGCAAAATAGCAACTACAGAGGCCGTGGTGGACAAAGAGGCGATCATCGGGGTAGAGGTGGTGACAGAGGACGAGGCGGTAGGGGCGGAGGAAGAGGGAGGGGGCGGGGCTCATGAGCATAGTGGGGAAATGGGGGGGTGGAAGACGATTTCACGAACCAAAACCAAAAGCGAAAGTCGGAGTAGAAGACTCATAAGAATATTCTCTATGGTCTATGAACGCCTAAGCTATATGCCTAGGGCTAGTGGGACTCGGTTTGAGGTGGGCCGGTACCAATGAGTGTGCCTATTTATTGCTTGCCCAAGGCATTTCCTCAAGCAACATAGCAAACAGCCATCCGGAACCAAATTACACTAACAAACGATTTCAAACCAAACCAAATCTGCTCCTTATTTGACCTCATTAACCTGTGATAGGAAATCTGTATGGATTTAGAGCAGAATAAGTAGTTAAGTCTAATTATCCTTATACCTCGAATTTATTGCATTTTTAACCCTGTTCCTGGTTGGCGAACGTTTTTGACAGGGCAGAAGAGAGCAGACTAAATTTTGTTTGTTGTAATTGCCATTTTGGCTTCCCTCATTAGTGAAGCATTAGCGTTTTTCCCACTCGCAGTTAATATCTACACAAGCTAATGTATTCCCATCTAACGCTCCCTACGTATTTGTCACGAATCACGTGCTCACGTGATACTTGTCATAATAAGAGGCGCAACCCTCGACAGGCACATCCAGGTCTCTTATAGCAAATAGGGATCGTTTGGAGTAGCTAAGCGATCCAGGGATTTCTCTGTATTGTTATCACGTGACCAGTAGTGGTCGCTTGCTCGCGAGCGACCAGCAGCGATCATGGGAATGAGGGTTCTATATAGGACTGGCACGTCTGCCATTAGATAGGAGCTTCGTGCTCAACTTAGTTATCAATCTTATCATATTAGTTTGACATCTTTGATACAAGTAACGAGTTCACTTCCAAGTGAACAACCCGATAGTCTTCTTCTTATCATTGTCACGGATGTCGTAATGAGTTTGATTTAATGTCACGGATGTCAACAAAGGATAAAGTGTATACAGCTTTTGAATCAATTGCTAGAACTAAAACCGTAGGTACGAAGAAATCAAACTAAAGAGAGAAGAGAATCTGAAAGGAGCGAAGTTATTTAAGTTGTTCCAATGCCAAGTCTCGTCACGTGCTTGGCCAAGCGAATGAAATCCTGTCAAATGAAATCCAGCTCCGTCACAATCATAGCATACCAAACAGCGAACACCCAGCCAAGTTTAGTTAGCCAGTTTGAGTATTCGTTACAATTTATTAAAAGCTAATCTAGTTCTCTTAGAGATATAGTATCCTAATAGAAAGGAAGGATAAATTACTTTTATAACTATAATATAATAAGCTATAAAGAGTGTAAGTATTATTAATAAATTTAATTAGATAATATATATTTAGAATTATATTATACCTAAGGTTTAATAGAAAGTTAATAAGCTATAGTTAGGAGCGAATAAAATAGGTTTAAGTTAATAGCTTTATAAGCTATAGTAGATTAAGCTTTTACTTAAATAAACTTAAGCTAAAGAGAAACGTAAGAAGGATAAAAGACGCCGAAATTATATAGCGGAGGCCTATAAGGATTTCTAAGCTTCTAAATATAAGTTCTAGGATAACTTCCTAAACAATAGCTTTCGAGTAAGGTAATAAAATAATAACTCTTAATAAACTAACTAGCCTAATAACTTTTAACCTAACTACTAATAAAATATAAATTTAGATTATTTATATAATACTAAGTTATACCTAAACCTAATATATAGAAGGAGGATTTAAAGGATTAGAATAAGGATAAGAATAAGTTAGAGGAAAAGAAGGATACTAAGCCTAATAGATTAAGGTTTTAGGATCGACTAGATAATAATAATCGTTACTTTAATAATCGCGGAAACTATAGAAGATAAGGAGATAATTATTAACCTCTATTTAATTATAGGAATTAAGAGAACTAAGGTCCTAGTTAAGGAGGATTCTATATATAACAAAGTACTTAAGGACAAGGAATCTATATTATAGAGGAGGACTTTAGTAATAGTAGTAATAACTAAGGTTATTATAGCGAATAGTCTAACTCGTACTCGAAGACTAAAGATAAAGATAATAGGTATATTTTAATTAATTTAGACGTATAAAGAGATTACCTATATACATTAGAGGGATAAGTACTTTAATTAGCTATTAAACTAGGAACTAAACTATTAGATATATAGTCGATCTTATAACTAATATTAAATATAGATAAAGTAACCTATTAATATTATAACTCGCTATTCCTATCTAATAACTAACTCTATTCGTACCTTCTTTAGTACTAGAAGACCTTATAGGCCGATTTAGTAGAAGTAAGTAAGAAATCTATTATAGATAAGACTAAGATCCTAGTTATAACTTTAAAGGTTTCTCTTAATATAGTAAGTAATAGCTTTATATATAAAGAGTATTAAATTACTACGATCTCTATTTAGTTTATAAAAGACGGAGATTATTATAAAATTTATATAGACTTAGGAACTAGTATAACCCTTATCGATAAAGAATTCTTATCGAAGGTGACTCTATAAGTTAAAACTACTATTTAAGTAAAACCTATTTATCTATAAGGTATTAGTAATACTTTAGTAATTTCTACCTAGTATATACTTTTAGATATATACTTTACAGGAGTAGATACTACGTTAGCTTTAAAAGGTATTATAAAGCTAGTTATTATAAACCTTAAGAGAGAAGTATATATTATTAATAAGCTTATACCTAAAGTACTAATTAGAATAGATATTATAATTCCTAAAGATATTACTTTAAAGCTAGGAAAACACTATACTATAATTAGTAGTTATAGAGTTAATATAAAACCGTTCCTTTTATCTAAGAAACCTTTTCCCTTAATACTAATTAATAAGAATATTCCGGCTTTAAAGGAAGAATAAGCTTAGCTTCTTAAGCCTAATAACTATAATATTAGAATCTATTCCGCCTTAATAGATAATTCGACTACTAATATTATAGTATAAAATAATAGAGACGTTATAATCTATATTTCTATGAATTAGCGTATAGGCTATATATTAGTTATTAACTCTAAATAATACTTTTAAGATAATAATAATAATAATAATAATAATAATAATAATAATAATAATAATAATAATAATAATAATAATAATAATAATAATAATAATAATAATAATAATAATAATAATAATAATAATAATAATAATAATAATAATAATAATAATAATAATAATAATAATAATAACAATAATAATAATAATAATAATAATAATAATAATAATAATAACAATAATAATAATAATAATAATAATAATAAGTACTAAGAACTCTATCTTATTATATTTAAGCCGAGCTAATTTTACTTATAAGAGATCTATTAAAAGAAATTAAGTATTCCTTTAGAAGTATAAATAGTACTCTTAATAATGCAATAAAGATTATAAAGATCCTGGAAAATATACTAGAAATACTCTTTTAAGACAAAGGATATATTAATATTCTTAAAGACCTTTAGATAAGAATCTATTGAAAGGAAAGATAGTAGAACAAGGTTATAAGTTATACTAAGGTTTATTTATTAAGCGAGAAGGATAAGAAAGTTATTAAACATACTATATTAAAGCCGCTCCTTAACTAAGGTAGAATTAAGTATATAAGAATAGTAACTCCCTTCTCCTAGCTAATCTTTATCGCGAAAAGGGTAATACTACATAGTATGGTTAAGTATTAAGCTATTATTAATATTCGCGGACTTAGTATAATAATTTTACTAGACATATATCTAATACTAGTAATAAAGAGTATTATTAATAATTTATAAGATAAGACTAAGATATTAAATTAAGTATTAATACTATAGTATTCTTTTAGTAATAGTAGATTTATCTAGAAAGTAAGTAAATTATAACTTTTATTACTTATAAGGGATAATTCTAGGCTAATTATATTATTATAGGCTATTAAAATACTTCTATATATGCGTAAAGTTAGTTAGATACGTTATTTACTAATCTTCTATTTATAAAGGGTTATATAAATAATAATATTTATATAAGCTAAACTTTAAAAGAATATCTAACTAATTTATAACCCATATTAGATAGATTTATAAAGTATAATATTATAGTTAAGAGTAGTAAGTATTTCTTTAGGTTCCTATTTACTATAGTTCTAGAATATTATATTAATAGTTTTAAATACTTAAATATAAATAACTAAATAAATTATAGTACCTTATAATTTAGAGTTCTCGAAAACCTTTAAAAACCTTAAAACCTATATTAGAATAATATATAGATTATAATACTTTATATAGGATTATATAGTTAAGATTAAACCTTTATAAGTATAAAAAATATTCCTTCTTTAGAAGGCTCTATATAATAGACTCCGGAGGAAATAATTTATAAAATTAATAGTATTTATTTAACCTATAGTAAAAGAATTAAATACTTTTAAGAAAGTATAAAAGAATCTTTATTAAAGATAATTTTAATATATATCTTACTAAATAAGCGAATTTATACTAGTAATCTCCTTTAACTAAGGTAAATAAAGCGTTAGCGTTCGCCTAGTATTAGAGCTTTATAAAAAGGCTTTTAGTAATAGCTTAAAACTTTATTTACTTATATAAATAACTTACTTTTACTTTAATTTATTTACTTATAGTCTTTATTTTCTTAGAGACTAGCCCCTAAACTCTTATAGCTTGTTATACTCAAAAGGTACTTTATATATTAATTTATTAGTATTTACCTTTAAGTAAGTAAAGAAACTATTATTGTAAAACTAAATGTAACGAATACTCAAACTGGCTAACTAAACTTGGCTGGGTGTTCGCTGGTTGGTATGCTACGATAAGAAGAAGACTATCGGGTTGTTCACTTGGAAGTGAACTCGTTACTTGTATCAAAGATGTCAAACTAATATGATAAGAT